ACAAGAAGCCATGCAAGCATTAAGAGATACGTTGATGAGAAGAATAGCGCCACCTCCTAGGCCATTATTAGATTTCACAGGGACGGCGAGAGACGGGCAATTTACGACATATGACCCAACACCAATACCAAATATGCAATATTTACAACCAACAACAATATTACAACCACATCAACCCAATGTAGGAGCGACACAACAACCATTACCGATAGCATCATCAAGCCAACCTGCGATATCAGAATTACCGAGACCACAACGACCAACGGAACCGAGAGGGAAATCAAGACCTCGACCAACTCCTAAAACATCACCAACACCACCACGACCTAATTTTCAAGAAGGAGGAGTGTCAGGTTCCGGAAGCAATCCAGAAGAAGAAAGAACACCACCAACCGAAGAACCAGCGAGGAAAGGATCAAGAAAAACTAAAAAAGATGGAACTATTTTAAAAGAAAGTCAAGGTGAAGAAACAACAGGAACAACATTAATCAAACCGAGTAAAATAGGAATACAAAAAATACGCGAGTTATTTGAAGAAGCAAACAATAGAAAAACAATATCAAATGCCACATATAAAAAATACAAAAGTGCATATAATAGTTGGATAAAGTCAGCAGGTGATAAAGAAATGAAAAAACAATATCTAAAAGAAATACAAAACATATATAGGCAACATATATTCAATAAATAAAAATGTAAATATTTCAATAAAAAATATAATTTATTGAAATATTTATTATTCCAATCACCCTTCCCAGCATTGTTTTTGCTCAGCGAGACGATGCTTCATTCCCCGAGGCTGTGCTGTGCCATCACTCGCGAGGATCCTGTGTGGGATTAAAATAAAAAACGAACTACAAAAAACATATTATAATTACTAACCAAAAGATAAGGAAAAATATTACCTTTTATAAAATCTGTCCTCCCGTCCATTGGCTTGCAATGGTCTGTGTCATTAACATGTCCTCGTCAGGGAAAAAAGAATAAACCCATACTATTTATTATTTTTGCCAACCCACCTTCAAGAGGACATCAAAAGAAGCAACCACCAGACGATCCAGTAGCCACAGAGCGCCCACGCTGATGATGGCCACCTTTGCAGGGAAAACAAAAGAATAAAACAAAATATTGTAAAATTATTTACTATATCCAAAAAATATTTTGTAACATCCCACCTCATCAAGTGGTAATTTTTGCCGGACGCCCTCGTTTTTTTGGCGTAGATATAGAAATGGAACTCACGTCCGGCATATCCTCATCGCCATCTTTTTTACCACCATGTCCATCGTCGTCATCGTCGTCGTCGTCATCGTCGTCATGGTGGTTTTCCGTATCATGGCGACGATCTCCATGAACAGGGCATTTACTTAAAGACCCGTATAATTTTTGCCATTGGATATCCCCATTAGAAGAACCCCATAAACTAACAATTAATTTTTCCATAGAGCGTAAAGAATAAGATTTAAGGGCAGTAACCAAAGTCTCTACTTCCCCTAATTGGTCATCTACATAATGAAACAAAACATCAACCATTTGTTTAACCCTTAATTCCCCGTTATTGCTTTTTGCTAGATCCTCAATTAAATTAAGTCTTACCTTTCTATCCACAACCCCTAAAATAGTGGGGATGCACCTCTTTGGATCGGTTTCTGCTAAAGCTAAGGTTTCTGTAATAAGGGCTATTTGTTCGGTAAAAACCCGTGAAACCGCCGATGAAGAGGTGATCCGTGTTTCAAGGCTTCGTGCTTCTTCATTGATAAAACGGATACGCTGGTTTTTAGAAATATATTTGCTAGTGCATTTGAACCCCATAGCGTTTGATGAAGAAACACGAGCCCTTTTACCCCCTCCTATTTGATAAAAAACTTTATTGTCCTTATCATCCAAGTTCTCCTGTCCACCAGTGCAGATGTCTTCGTCGTTGCTGTCTTCTTCGTCGCTGTAGCATAGCATACCCATAACATTGTTGAACTCTTCGGCAGAATGTGAGCTTACCTTACTGTATATTTTATATAAAATTTTATTATGGAAAAATATTTTTGTATATACTTAATAAAAAATAAGTAGCATCCCAAACTTGGTCATCTTCAGCGATATCATACTGGTTGTAGATCTTTGCCATGACATTGTTGATCGTGTCATTGCCTTCAACATCCATAGTGATGGTCTCGCCCGTCATGGTCTTCACGGAGATCTGCATGACCTCGGGATAAAAAAATAAAAAATATAGACTTGTATACAATATAAATTATATTCAAAATAAACATAAATATAAAAGTTTATAAAATACAATCCGAGAAACGACGGGTCAAAGCGAATTTATAAAGTTTCTTGAAACACTCAAAAAACTGGAGCAACAAATGCTACAGCGGAACAAGAACATGTTACACAGCACAACCACTCGTGTCAGACTGCACATGCCGAACTGCACATGACATGTTGCAAAAACAAAAGTTTTAAAAGTTTTAAAAACTAAAATATATAGTATTATATATATGAAAAAATCAGTTCATGATGAATTGTTTGAAATACTCTACAAACAGGCAAAACATGAATTAGAAAAACTAGAAATTATCAAAGAAAGTAGGGAAAGTAAAATTGTAGAAATAAAACAAAAATGTGTTATAGAAAAAGAAGAACAGGAACATTTAGATAAGGAAATGAAGTATTTAGAAAAACAAATTGAGCTACAAAAAGAACTAATAGAACTGTATGAAAATAATATTTCATAAATTGTGCTATACGATACACACTTAAAGAAATAAAAGATAAAAATGTATAAAAGTTTTAAAAGTTTTAAAAAGAAACATATATAGTAATATATATATGATGAAAACTATATATGAATTTATGACTGGAGAAGATATTGAAAAAAGCGTATATAAAGAAAAAGCTTCATATCTTGAAGTAGAAACGGACAATGCAAGAAATGAATTTGCAAAAAAACAATATTCATTGTTATCAAGAGTTGAAGCATTGATAATAGAAATGGAAAAATCAATCGTTAAATCTTCAGCAGACGACAAATATATAAAAGATGTAAAACAGAGAAAAAATTATTTAGAAAAACGATTAAAAGAATGTCAACTGTTATAAAAATAATTTATCACAAAAAATATCACAAAAAATATCACAAAAAATATTACAAAATTTCTGAATTTTTGTAATAAAATTTATGATAAATTTTTATGAATTTTTTATCATAAATTTCTGAAAATTTAATGGTGAAATGTGCGAGGGGCGGATGTCAAAAATGGGCAAAAATTTATAGAAATGTTGAAATCCTAGGGTACCCCCTAGGGAAATAATGCATCAGGCATCCGCGGGACGGATATATAACATGGGGCATGGCCATCCCTAACTAACAGGAGGGGCACGCTGAGTCGGTGAATGTTACCGAGGCAGCTGCCGACGTCTTCCTTATCCGCACAGGTGCAGCCTAGCCATGCCTCTTATGACTTGGTGTACGCCATGCTGTCCTCAGATTCCTTGACTTACTTAGGGCCAGACAGGTTCCCGACCAGACAGTCTGAACTTCAGGGCAACAAGCCCGGGAAGGAGCTTACCATCGACGGGAACAGTGTGACGGTGAGGGACAAGGTGCCTCATCAAACCTGCACAACGGGGACAGAACTTGAGCTTACGCAGGCTCTGAGGCGGCGAGCCTTAGCATTTGATCTAGTCAAGTGCGCCAGTTGTGACACCATGAATCGGTATCACTCGTCCTTGATTCATCGGCTGCAGGAGTTGCCACCTCCTACTTACGTGAAGATTTCAGTGGCACAGGTGCTCAGGGCAGACAGGGCAGCCTTCACACGCATTGCTGAAAGCCTTCCCTCGATCAAGCGTCAGCCCGATGGGACTTTGCCTTTGGATCGAGCCCTTGAGAACATTCTTCAGGATCCCAGCATCAGCTTCCACTTGTTGCCTTTGAAGGGTGGAGAAATCGATGACAACAAGCGGAAATGGACGGATGACGCCAAAAAGACTGATGGGCCGACCAAGTGGAAAAAGAATGGCAAATGCAAAGGCAAGGGCAAAGGCAAGGATCAGCCGGGAGTTAAAGGGGCCAAATTCATCAAAATGCCGAAGCAGCTCGTCGGGAAAGCCAGCAAGACCAACGAAGGTAAGAGGCTGTGTTGGGCATACAACATTGATGGGTGTCCCAATGCTGCTGACGGCGAGGAGTGTCCGCGCGGCTGGCACCTGTGTTGCGAGCCAAATTGCTTCAAGGCGCATCCGTTGCCTAAGCACCGAAAGTGACAGCCAGTCGCCTCGACTGCACCGGAGCCTGAGTCTTATCTTCAAAAAGTGTTGGCTAGGGTTAAAGGGGTCTCCTTGGATGAATGTCTCGTCTTAGAGGTCTCGCCGGGGTCGGGGCGGTTGACTGCATGCCTCAAGCAGCGACAGCTTGATAACAGTTTTTCCGTTGACAGAACAGCCGGCAAGTGCTGTGGGCCGCGAATTGTTGTTGACTTGTGTACAGAGTCGGGTCGCAAGCAGTTCCAGGAGATTTTGACCGAAGAAAATTTGATGTATGTTCATTTTTATCCGCCCTGTAATACTACAAGCCGTGCCAGGTTGCGTCAATTTGCAGGAGCCCCTGCAATCCTGCGGAACGAAACCCATCCTGATGGAGTTCCAGGGTTGGGGCTAGCCGATCGTACTAGAGTGAGTGATGCCAATGCTTACCTGCGTGCTGTGGCTGCAGCTTGCAAACCATGTCACGAGCGCGGAGTGCTTTTTAGCGTCTGCAATCCAGAGTCAAGTTTCGTGTGGGCTGACTTTTGCTTCAGGAAGTTCCTCTCTTCACAACGCACTTTCACCTTTGCAGCTTCGATTCGCCATTCAAGAAGGCTATGCGAATGCTGCACTCTCTACCAAAATTCTTGGAGTTGCATCGTCCATGTGCCGGTGGACATGTACATAAAGTTTGGTCTAAGGGTGTGGGTTGTAAGTTCGACCGTGATTTGGACTTTCCTTGGGGTTTGTGCAAAGCTATGTCGCAGCTTCTGCAAGATCAACTGCTTGGCATGGGGGCCAAGCCTCTGCCTACTGACTTGAGTCAGACAACAGCCACAGTTGCAGCGGCCAGAGCTGTGGCTGGATGGCAAAGCAACAAGCGTGTCCTTCCTCTGGTTACGGAGTTCAAGCATGTTGTAAACGTCAGTGGCAGCTTCCCTGCTGCGTGTATGCATGGTCTTCAAGTAGGCTGCAAACTCCCTGCACCGTGGGAGGTACCCGCATCTGCAAACGTTGACCCGTGCTTCCTGTCGTCTGTGCCACAAGGTTCCAAAGTCCTTCGCATCCTCACGGTGCCGGGGGAAAGTTCAGAGGATGCTTCAGACGACTTGAGTGCAGGCCAGGCTGACGGGCAAGACGACTCGCCGCCAGCCAGTTTTCTTCACCGTACATGTTCGAACCTTCATTCTCCGCCCTCACCCTGCTGAGAAGCTTGCCTGCATCATGTTACAGTGGAACACTCGCTTCAGCCAAGAGGAGATGCGAACTCTCTTGGACATGTTGCCGCAAAAACATCAGACCAGAGCCAGGGGGAGCTGTGATGACCAGTCCAATCAGTTTCTGTGCGGAGCCTATGCTCATGGGCCCATGACGGGCTGCAAAAACTTGACGCGGGATATGCCTTGGTGCACTGCCGTGCTTTGCAAGCATGTTCGCGATAATGCTCCGGGTTTTTGCTTCTCTGCCGTGGGCTACCTGTGCAATGTGCTCGCAGAAGCCCATCGAGATTTGCACAATGAGCCAGGAACAAAAACCCTGGTCATGGCAACGCATGCTTGTGCTGGCGGTGGACTGTGGCTCGAGGAGGCAGGTGGACCTATTGCAATGGTCGTCGGGAAAACCCAACGTGCTGGGAGGTTTCACGACTTGGCAGTTGGGAGACCCTTTATCTTTGAACCGAAGCGTTGGCATGCTACTCAACCGTGGCGAGGTGACAGAGGAGTAATCGTTGCATACACCCCAGTGGGAGTGACCAAACTTGCGACTGCCGACAAAGGGTTCTTAGAAAACTTGCGTTTCCCCTTAGGCCCCTCTTCTGGTTCTAGTGATGTGCCTCCCAGGGTCGCAAAAGTACAAAAAGGAAGTATAACTTTCGGCGTGTACCATGAACCGGAGGAGTTCGTGGCGAGGGCGTTGAGCGTGCAACATCCGTGTCACTTGGAAAGCCTTTTGCCATCAGAGCTTGTCGAGGCCATACGGGCAAATCATTCCAAAGATGTCGCTACGCTTGGGCGCGAGCGAACTGAGATGCTCAACAAATGGCTTGCTCGCGCTGAGGAGCTGGAAACTGCCGAAAGCCAGTTCAAGGGTTCCTTCAGCTCTCATCGACGTCAAGTGTTGTGCAACAAGCGGCTGCTCTTGATGAAAGAGATGCTTGACAGTGTGGGACACGAGGACGAGGACTTGATTTCTGATCTGTCAAACGGTTTTGACTTAACCGGACCCTTGGCCCGATCTAACGCCTTTAAGAATAAGTACCGCCTGGCAGCCATGGCCGAGGAAACGCTTAGGAAAAGTGCGGGTTTAGTTAGGGGTCAGGTTTTGGCTTCGGTTAAAAGTTCTGGAGACGAGATCGTGGATCAAGGCGTGCTAGCAGCCACGGAGAAGGAGTTAGCCAAAGGCTTCATTGAGGGGCCGGTGAGTGCTAGCGACATCCCTAGTGATGGGACGGTCACACATCGCTTTGGAGTGATTCAAGGAGAGACCGAGGAAGGTCCCAAAGTTAGACCAATCGATAATTACTTGAGTTCGCTTGTAAATTCGGTTGTATCCCAAAGTGAACAAGTGCCCGTTCACACGTTGGACGTAGTTGCTGGCATGTTGGCGATGTGGTTGCACTTGTCTCCTTTGAAGTCCTTGCGTGCGGGACTTGTGTGCAAGTGCTGGGACCTCAGTGCCGCGTACAAGCAACTACCGCTCAGTGACAAAAGTTTCGAAAAGGATAGCTTTTTCGTAATCTTCTGCCCCCGCACTCGCAAGCACGTCATCTACAAGCAGCGGGTCATGCCCTTCGGGGCAAAAGCCTCAGTAACCGCCTTTATCCATTGTGCATTCGGGATTTGGCGGTTGGGGGTAAAAATGTTTGCCTTGGTCTGGAGTTTTTATTTTGACGATTTCCTATCGGCCTGCAAGCCTGAGGAGCGTCGACATGTGGAAGTCGTGATCAGCACTCTGTTTAGGCTTCTAGGTTGGGATCTTTCGCTAGATAAACTTTTGCCTTACGACGTGTGCTGTAAAGTCCTTGGAATCAGATTGACATGGCTGAAGCTCGCCTGGGACTCTTCAAATTGGCGAACACCGACAAACGTGTGCTGGAGTTAATTGCTGCCTTGGACGAAGTCTTGTTAGCTGGCAGGTTGTCGCATTCTGACTGCGAGAGACTTCGAGGTAGGCTGCAGTTTGCTTCTGGCCAGTTGTTCGGTCGAAGAGCGAAGGTTGCTCTGCACCAGCTTAGCCGGCATCATGGAGGTCGGTTGAGCGAGGTCACTTCCGAGGCGTGTCGCTTCTTGAGGCGTTTGGTTTCGTCAAACCAAAGCCGCTCGATTAGTCGGCAACTGGGCAATGTCGTGCATGTGTATGTGGATGCACCCTTCAGCGATGAGGGCAGGCTTTGTGGCATCGGGGGCATGGCATATGACCATAAAGGCTCCTTGCTCCAATGGTTCGGTGAAAACCTTGATGCTTCGCTTGTTTCCCAAGTCATGACGTCCTTTGAGCGTGTCAAAGAGACTGTCATCTTTGAGCTGGAGGCTTTGGCGGTATATGTTGCGCTGAAGTTTTTCTTCAAAGCTCTTAAGGGCAAGAATGTGGTTGTGTTCACTGACAACGAAGGTGTTCACGGCGCCTTCGTGAAGTGCTGGACAGTGAGTCACTTTGCAACGCATGTCATCGATGCGGTATGCGAGATTGAGGAAAGCCTTGGCTTCATGATTTGGTACGATCGAGTTCCATCTGTAAGTAATCCTTCGGATCCGCTTTCGAGAGGAGTGTGGAACCTGCCGACACCCGTGCGTGTTAGGCCTGCGGCGAAGTTCTTTGAAAGCTTTCTTGAGGAGTCGAAGTCACGACTGAAGTGATGTGCACAAGTGGTGCGGCGGCAAGTAGTTTGGGCGCTCTTAGTGCCAAAGACAGGGGCAGGGCAAGGCACTGCGATGCCCCAATCACGAGGAAAAGCGAGCCGCTAGTGTGAGCCGAATTTTTATTAGTTGTGAAGTATATATTCGGATGAAGAGTGACATATCCTGAATTTTTATATGCATACTCTTTTGTATATATGGAATATGGAACGCCCGGTTGACACGTAAAGGGAAAATAAGACGCAACTCCGCGAATAGCGGATGAAGCTTTATTTTCCCCTGTGTCAAAAATTTTGGTTTGTCAAACAAACTCAAAATTTAGGGCGTGAGTGTTTTTGTCAAAGTTTTCTTAACCCAAGACATGACAGTTCATGTTTGAGGGATCTCAATGAAGTCTTTGTTATGCCGTCAGTTGGCTCCACAGGGTGGTGGGAGGGTAAGAAAAAATTTCCGGCATAAGTCCGGAAAAAAGTTTTGTCCCACCCAGCCCGCCCTGATTGTTGCCCGCACAAGTTGTGCTGCGAAGTTCGCAATGATGCAAGTGGCATCTTTCTTTTGACAATGCATCTTGTACAAATGCGATTCTGCCATGTTGTTGAAACTGAACAAAGAGCAAGCGCCCTGGGCCCGAGCCCAGGGCAAGGCACTGCGATGCCCCAATCACGAGGAAAAGCGAGCCGCTAGTGTGAGCCGAATTTTTATTAGTTGTGAAGTATATATTCGGATGAAGAGTGACATATCCTGAATTTTTATATGCATACTCTTTTGTATATATGGAATATGGAACGCCCGGTTGACACGTAAAGGGAAAATAAGAGTCTCACAACCCACAAGTCGATTCGCAGCTCTTCTGGGATGCCAGGTGACCAACATGGTTTACAGTTTCGTGTTTAGGGCTGTGCTGTTACAACCACGAAGCTGACGTGTGGAGCTCTTCGTGGTATCATTTTTCGAGCAGTCGGACGGGACCAGGCACGATTTTCTGAGCAGGCCGGCCGGGAGGTGTGCACCCTTCCACAGGGCCACCCGATAATTGGATTAGGTCTCGAATTAGTGCTTTCGCGAACTGCTCCGGGAAATTGCGGGAGCTATGTGACATACACTCCTCATAGCCTTTCTCATGCGAGTGTGGAAACAGAGCTGAAGGGATTTGTCCTCTTGCTTAGTGGGTCTACGGTGGGAGTTTCGGCATCATCCTGCTCCAATGTTCTTTTGATCAACACAGTTACAAGAAAGTTTGTCCCCAAGTCCCCACGTCAACTTCATGTGCATGAGGTCTTGAGATTCGCAAAGCAAATTGTCATAGAAGGAAGTCAACATGAATTTGGCTAGCACCTGGAGATTCGAATCACGTTTCGCTCTTTGGCCGGTTACACGTTTTAACTAGTCAAGTAGCGCAGGCCTGCTCATGGACCTCTGCTGCTCGTCCTCAGGTCTTGACAGTTGTTGTGTTGTCATTGGTTTTCCCACGCCGACACGGGCCTGGGCATTCGTTCAAGCTCTGCAGCTGGGTGCTCCTTCGAGCGAGGTATAGTGGCCGGGCAGTGGTGGTGCGACCATGGCCAAATCGCGGACTGAGCGTGCTTCGGCCTCGGTATGGTCTCGCAGATGTTTCACTTGCTGGGCAGCTCCTTTGATTTTCTTATTTTTGGTCCCCTACAACATGCCCTTAAATGGAACGGAGTTCGGGATGCTGGAGACTTTGGGCCCGCCTCTGATGGGATTGACTGCCACATCTCTCTTGGGCATCACCCTTCCGTTGTGCGGCTGTGCGTCCAGGTGGCTGGTTGTGGTGCAGGTGGTCTTGCAGATCGTCATCATCGGGTGTTTTTTGGCGCCTGAAGGCACCCGGGCCCGCACCACTTCCGAGGTCGGCCCAGCCGGCCCAGCCGCAGCCGAGCCCAAACGAGCGGAGGCCTCCAAGGCCAAGGGGGTCGCAGCCCGTTTCCTGGAGCCGCGAGCGACGAGTGGCCCTGGCACCATGTCGGTGGTGCTACCCTGTCTGAATGAGCCTTATGCCTTCAAGACGGTCATGAGCTTCTGTAACAGGACACCACCGGAGGTCCTCGAGGAGATCATTGTGGTAGACGATGCTTCAGTCCCACACCTGATCACGAAGTTGGAGGGTGTTCCTCCACACTGCAAGATGAAGGTCTTGAGGCACAATGAGTCCTTGGGCTTGATGATTGCCAAGCAGACCGGTGGAGACGCCGCAGCTGGAACCTACATCGGTTTCTATGATTGCCACGTCGCACCTGCGAAGAATTGGTACAAAGAGACCATAGAACTGCTAGCAGCAAAGGAGCGTCGGTTGGTTGTGCCAATGATTGCTGATCTTGATCTGGACAGCTGGGATGAGAAGGTGCACGGAGCCCTGACAGCAAAATGTTACATCAACTTCAATGCCGATTTCTGGTGGTATGAAGACCAGTCGGACTTTATCCCTGTTATCAGTGGAGGCCTGGTGGCCACCACGCAGAAATGGTGGAAAGACTCCGGTGGCTTTGATCCTGGCATGCGTGGGTGGGGCGGAGAGAACACCGATCAATCACTGCGGGCATGGCTGTGTGGTGGTGACATCCTGCGTGCCAAATCAAGTCATGTGGCACACATGTGGCGGGTTGACTCCGATGCCCGCACCCTGTCTCACTACAAGTTGAAACATCGCACAGATAATTTGGCCAGGGTTGCTGCAATTTGGTTTGGTGAGTTCAAAGACAAGTTTCGGGAAGGCAAGTTGGACTCAAAGATTGATGTGTCGATAGCGGCTCGCAAGCTGCAGGATCTGCAATGCAAGCCTTTTGCATACTTTCTGCATCGCTTTCGCAAACTGTATGTCGCTGGCGGGGTGCTCCCGGAATACGTGTTCCACTTGCGCTTGAAAGGCACCGAGAAGTGCATTTCCAAAGCAGGTGGAAATTTTCGGTTGGAGAACTGTGCTACAGCATCCTGGCTGCACTTTGCAAACATGGCTCCCCCCGGCTTTCCAACTCCATCTGATTTCCAATCTACAGACCCTGACTCCGCATCATCTTCTGAAGTGGTATGTGGCGGCCACACTGCTCCCAATTGCGCAGAGTGTCCCCGGCAACATGGGCAGGACTGGTGTCACGTCGACTGTAAGTGGCTCTTCGGCCACTGTGTCCCTGCGAAGTCTCGCTTTGCGCCATCCGCTGATGCCAATACGGGAAATCTGTCGCGGAGCTCCTGGAAATTCTCGGGGATCCGGCTTTGGAACTCGATCGAGTGCTTTGATCGGCTGGATCCGACAGGTCCCATCGTCTATTTCTGTGATATAACGGGGCAAAATCAGAATCAGCAATATCTGCTCGACGCGAAGGGGCTCATCCGACACGCCTCTGGCCGTTGTGTTTCTGTGAACGCCAAGCCCACGCAGCTTGCGGCGGTCCCCTGCAAGGGTGCACGCGAGTGGGAGGTCATCGAACAGTTCGTACCATCCGAAACACAGAGGTACGAAGCCGCAGTAGCCCGTCACCAGCTAGGGGAAGATTTGCCAGATAGTTGAGCAAAAAGACCGCTTGCTTGGCTGGAGGTCTTGTAGTGGTAAATCCAGTTGGAGAACGTCTTCTGTTTGGGAATGGCCATAATCATTTTGCTTAGCCCTTCTCGCAAGTATGTCATGAGGATGCGGGTTCTGTCCTCTGGCTTAAAACCGACCTTAGCTTCAGGGCTCAACAGCTGCTTGAACAAATTATATGACATCTTGTCGGGCATGTGTCCCATGCGAGAAAGTCACCTCGTACAGACTCACATCATTCAAGCAAAGATGAAGTCAGCTTGAAGTCCTAGCGGGCAGTCCAAGATCGATCCTGCCAACGGCCATTTCGTGATGCCGGTGAAACGCAAACAGGCGAAGAGAACGACGAAACGCGACCCTCTGCGGCACTAGGATGCCTTGACACCTGAGCAGACCCTCCCTTCACAGAAGTGACACGATGTTCCAATGCAGGTGGCGGGCTTCCCTGTGGTGTCACCGAGTGCCGAGGGTTTGGCCGAAGAGCCCTTCGCAAAGCTCAAGGATGCACTGGGCGCAGAGGCTGCGAATCTGTGACCTGCAGCGCAAGACGCGACCCCCAGACTGCAAAGACTGTGCTCCTTAGGAGCATGGCTCGTGTCGTCAGGTGGGTGCTGGGGCGCTTGCAGGCGCGGCCCATCTGGTGCTGTGCCTGGGCTGAGCTAGACACGAGTTCTTGACCGGCCGCACTGACGCGGACTCAAGAAATTGTCTCAGAGGCCCTGCAAGCCCGGATCATCATGTTCTAAGACGTCCATGCCAGACTGTACCTGAGTTTTGATGAGTTGGAAGTCGTAGTTCAAGTACTCAAAGCCAACCAGCCCCATATGCCTCGATACCCTCGATTCAGTATGTTCCTTGCCTCGATCCTCCCTGAAAGATCCCCCGTCTCGCTCCCTCCATGTCTTTCTCCTCGCTTTCTCTCTCTCTCTCTCTCTTTCCCTTTCTCCGTCTCTCTCGTTCTCCGTTTCTCCCTGTCTCACTTCTTCCCTCCGGTTGGCAAATTCATGGAAGCTCCGAGCCCTGGCACCTCGCCAAGTCTTGCCAAGCCTTGCCAAGGCGAAGGGGGCGGTGCGTGCTGGCACACTCGGACGGCTTTGCCAACGTGCGCGCGAAGCGGCCCTTTGGACTCCGCACGCTCTGCCGCCTGCATGGCTGCACAAAGCCGCTGGTGGCTGCAGCCTTCCTTACTCTCGTTGACAAGGGCAAGGTGAAGTTGGCAGATCCGATCGGCAAGTACATCAGCTTCTCGGGGGAGGTAAGCGGGAAGGGGCGTGGAAAGAGACAGAGATTGAAGGCTCGTAAGGTGAAAGTTCAACCGACGCTTCGGCATCTTCTCACGATGACGGCTGGGCTTCAGTACCAGGACCGGCAGAAAGCACAACATACTCCAGGGCTGGAAAGCCATGTCAACCTTGAGCTGAGCGGTGGAGGTCTGAGTCATAGTCAGCAGCGAGAAGAGCAGCAGTGCATCCCGCCCAGGAAGGACGGCTCGGCCTTCGCCGAGGTTAGTCACATGATGGAATAGCCGAATGCCCCACCCCCGCGAGGTGAAGGAAGCGGCGCCGTTGCACGAAAGGAAAGACGAAGCGTCAATCAGAAATCAGAAATGTACCGGGATGGATGGGTGGATCACGTGAGACGGGCTTCGTCCTGGTCCCCGAACCCCGGCGACCTGAGGGGGAGAGACGATGCGGTGATGCGGGCAGTGCTCGCAGACAGTGAGGGGCCAGCAGATTTTGTTGCCTGGAATCCTCGGCTTCTTTTGCAGACAGAGGGTCTTCCCCTGTGAGCGAAGCTGTTGAAGGTATCCATCTGTTGGAAGGTGTGCTTCTGATTTTTGCATCTTTGTGGATGTGCATTGCAAAGAGATGACCCGTCTAGGTACTACAGGCAAACCTCCAGCAAATGTTGGCTGCACCTCTTGGTTTCATTTAGATTTGATGCTTGGTGTAGAGCTCTTGATGCTGCGACTTGAGCCTGCCAGGACTGTGCAGCTTACGCCAAAACCATGCGTCGCATCAAACAGAGGCAGGTCAAGACTCTTGGCTTTCACTTGGATTCTGTAGCCTGTCGACTTTCTGGCCATCGGGCTTGGGTCCCAAGTGGTAAATGAATACAACTGTGACCACGGAGACCGGCAGCGAAGTGCGTAGACGAGGGGATGCCACTGCTTGCGCCTCGCGAGTTAGTGCTTTAAGCTTTGCGTTTCTCGCCGGGTCGGGGTGTTGCCCCACTGTCGCTCTTCCGCTTGTCTTCGCATCTGACTCCCCCGCTCTGCTCTGACTCTGCTCGGACAGTTGCACCGACCTGTACAGCTGTGTCAGTACGCAATGGAGTGCCGGCCAAGGAACCTCGCTTCGATGTGCCAAGAGCTTGCAACCCAGCCATTGCAAAGCGAGCCAGGAGACTGCACGTATCCCCATGGTGTGACAAGGGTTCAGATTCGGTTTTGACTATGGATGGAGATTAAAGACAGTATCATTGCTTAAGAGCTTCGACATCTTACGCAAAATGTTGGCCTGGGGTACTGCATATCATCTTCTTCGGTCCGCACGCTGGCCTCTAAGAAGGATCTCGCTACACCTACAGCTTCTGCACTGACATGATCGGCAGAGTCTGTGAAGCCGTCAGCGGCAAGCGTCTGGCAGCTTGGCTTGGAGAAGGTGATGGGCACATGCTTTGTAATCAGCACATCGCATCTGCAGGACAAGTTCGTGAACGCAGCCCTTCTTTCACCTCTGGGGATGCGAGACACCTTCTTCGAAGTGCCAGACCCTTGCAGAAAAATGCGTGACAGACTGTGGTCGAATAGCATGTCTTTGTATCCTTCGACACAAAACCTGATACCCACGGTGTCCCTGTGGTGGCTTAGCGCTTGGAAGTTTTTCGTGTTCAATTGCTGCGCTTTTGCAGTGCAAAGCTTTTCTACATGGAGGCGACGAAGAGGAAACGAGAAGCAGTCCTGTACGACTGCCAGCGAAGCGGCGGTGGAAAGTATGTGCCGAAGGCCAGCATTCCCCTGCAATCGGCAATGCCAAGAGAGATGCCCGTGCGGCGAAGACCAAGGTCTGGAGCCAGCCCGGCAAGGCCGTCCCGATCATGAGCGCCGGTGGAGGGATCTTGAGTTACAACGACGCCCGGCTTCAGCTGACAAAGTGAAGCTGACAAGGCTTGCTTAGCGGCTTAGCAAGCTTGCAGGATCCGGGGATGTGGAGCACCGTGGAGGATTACGCCAAGTTCTGCCAGATGCTTCTCACTGGGAAAACCCCCACAGGGGCACAGATCCTGCGGCCTAGCACCATGAAGGCTGACTCGGCAGCTCGGACTCTGGAAATCGTCTCATGTGACTGCTTTTGTGATCCTTCAGGCACTCTGGTCCGACAGCCTGGCGGTTTACGGGCAGAAGGCTGGGAGATGCTGGGACCCGCAGCACCCTCAACCGGTGCTCATTTCTGTGAGGATGGCCGTCTGCCTGGATGGCACGATGCTGATGGCAAGGCCAAAGGTGGTATGTGGGACTATACCGGCTGGTCGCTGTTGAAGCTTGTCGCAAGAGTCGGCCGAGCTTCTGCCCTGACTTTGAAGTGCGTCTGCTAACACCCTCGCCAAAAGTCAGGGTTTAGTGCAGCTCAGGAACACGCACCTGACCTTCAAGCAGATGCCTTCACCGAAGCTGGGCTCTACCACTTTCGCTCACATGCTGGTAGGAAGTAGGAAGCAGCAGTGCTCTTTGGCAGCAGCAGGTAAGCTCGGTTCAAAGCTGAGGAGCAAGAGAGCCCGGGTGGGACAGACCATGTGGATGGGAGGCGGTGGCGGTACTTTCTGGGTGGTGGACAAGGGCAACGAGACTTGCGCAATCTCCTTCTCGCAAAGCTTCGGCGGGCGTGCGCAGACTGATGCAGCCAAGGACGTTGCCTTGATCGCACACGGAGCAGTGGGGAGCGTGGATTGCCATGTCCGTGCCTCCGAGGACGCGGCAGTCTTTTTGGAGGCTGCGCTGCATCCATGAAAGGCCAGTAGGGGGCACGGATTTGGGATGCTCGCAGTACGCTTGCATGTTTCGGAGGATTGCAAAGAGCACTCGGGTCACAGCAGCGTCTTTAGTCGAAGGCACCTGTCACCGTACCGTGGTGATGACCGAAGGTGACGAGATAGTAGAAAGTGCAAGCGAGGTTACGTGATGCACGCAACATGTATCATCACGCCGGAGCTTCGAGAGAATAGTTTACGAGAGAGTTTCTCACAATCGGTGGGCAATCAGCAACAATCAATCCTCCCGTCATTACGCGATACCGGGTGCTTGGTGGCCGTTGGATGATGCGTGCAGAGGTGGCAGAAAGCTTCTAAGCACAGCAAGTCTGGGGCATTAGCCGCAAGGTAGTGAAGGCCTTGCAGCGCGCCCGATGGCGAGTGCTCTTCAATGTCTTCGCATCTGACAAGCTGGAGGACAGACATCTGAACCCATATTGGATATGCGTCAATTTCGGCAAGTGGGCTGGTTGGTGCCAGGAGCTCTCGCGCGCTGACTGTGAGCAGTCAGCAAACAGTCTTTCAGCATGTTCCAGCGGCACGATCATGCAAAGGCATGAGTTCCTTGGCAGTGTGCGAAGTTGTCTGGCCGAGTGCCCTTCTGTCCTGGCTTGCGCAAGTCGAGGGGTTGCAGACAGGCGCAAAAATCGTGTCCGGAGATTTCTAACTCGTACCCGAGCATCAATCAGCTCACCTTGAAGCAATTGCAAAGCTTTAGCAGTAGCAGACTCCCACTCCTAAGGACTGAGTTCAATGCAGTCGCACGCATGGCTCCCACCGCGACGATGACTTGCACTCGTCGATGCGTGAACTTGCCGTTTCACCTTACAGCACTGGGCCGGCCAGTTAGAAACATGGGTCATCTCATTAGCCCTTCAGAGACTCGAGTCGATTCTTTTCCCCGACAGTTTCCCACGTTTGATCCCGCAGACTCATAGCCTCATAGTAGCATTTGGGAGCGTACCAGCAAAGCGAAGACCGAAGACTGCGTGTGTCTCGCTGTGCCCAGCGGCAAGGCGATGGCTTTCGCTGCTCTTTGCCTTTGCTGTCCGAACGGTAAGTGTTGTCTCAGAAGCTTTCCAGCTTTCGGTCGTTAGCCTTGCTACCAGCCTTCTCCAGTCTCTCCTCCGGCAGGCTAGCAATGCAGGCTCTGGCCTGGGTCACAGCTCAATGCAACACGCTCAAAAAGGCAGATGCGGTTTTGTCATCGGGAAAGGCTCCACCCTCCGACAACCTCTACATTGCCGACCTTCCGCCGGGCTTCACTGTGCGGCTCCTGGGTCTCATCCGTCGCGGCTTTGTCTGGTGCTGGGGCCGGCCTGTATCTACTATCCAGCGGGGCTTTTTTCAGAAATGCTTTATATGGCGCTTTGCTCAAGTTTCTGAGCTCAGATGTGCACATTCCACTTCTCGCGATTATGCGGCCACAGTGTTTTTTCAGCACCACTTCAAGTTCGGCTACTACAGGCGGAAAGCCTCCAAGCCATCTTCCAGGAGTGCGCAGCCTGAAAGAGAAATCTTCTGAAAAATCAAGCAGGTTCCATCGTTGCAGATTCGGGCAACATGAAGGGTCGACTTCTGGGCGAGTTCGGTGGTGTACCGGAGGTACGGGAACATCTCCCAGTTCAAGCTCCTGCAGAACTCCGGGCCGGGCGGAAAGGCACGGCACGACGGCACGACGGCACACGCCACAACAGCTGAAATGAGTTGAGCCAAGTGACAGACCGCGGCTCTGGTGAGATTTCAGTCCGTCGAGGAGGCCTCATCCTGAGCTCTTTCTGAGCTCTTTCCGAGCAGTTCGAAGGCACGGCTCCTCGTTCTGACAGGCGACCTGGTTGGTGGAGAACTTGAATCACAACATTCCGCAAGGGCTGAGCTCTCCAGTTATCGTGAAGTGACCTACCTCCGTTCTTATCCGTACGACTGGTTCCGACGTTCATGCATTTGTTTTTCAGGTATGCCGACACGTGCAGGGCTTATGGAGAGCCTCTGGCCTGTGAGTCGTAAGCTTCATAGCGTGAGCGAGGAGGGCAAGCAGCTCTTCTGGCACCGGAACATCATTGAAAGCCTTCAAAAGTGACACGTTTCATGTGCAACAGCCAACACCTGCCATTGGTCTAGGCCAGAGATGAAAGCGGCCAAGCAGGGAGGCTTTGCGATGGCGACTCGGCCCCGAAACAAGAAGTGGAACAAGGCTAGAGCGAGGGAGGAGTGCCTCTGTTCCACTTCTCAGGCCACGTCTTACGGAAGCATGAAAGGTATGGGAAAGGCCGAAGGACGGCCTGCAGCTGTAAGACGCTGTGAGTGTGGTGTGCGATGACACGGCACTTCGTCAGGAAATGGAAAAGGTGCCGCTCGGGTGTCGCCCTATCCGTCCTATGGCAAAGGCTCGGACCGGGTGACTTTTTAGTAACGGATCGCTCTGGCTCTGTATCATTTGGCGCACGGCGGGCGCAGGCCAGTCATGGAATTCCTGGGAGCCGGCCCCGATGAAAGGCCTAGCTTCCGCTCGCGCTTCTGCCGAAGCTCTCTGCCTCTCTCCAGCTCGCAGCCACTGGACCCAGGATTCAAAGGCGGAATGGAGCCGGAGCCCCAACAGAAGCAATCGCAACGACGTGACGATTCGTAACGGCTGCAATGTTTCCGTCACTCGCATTCAGGAAGGGCAAGGGAAAAGGAAAGTGCAACATCAAGGCAGGGGAGTGCGGCGCGTTCAAGAGAGCTCGATTCGAAACAGCGATCGCTGCATGCTCTTTGCATCTCTTTGCTATTCGGGTTTTGTTCCGAACTGAGACATCGCATCGCAAGCTGTATTTCGTTGCAGAGTTTCCCAAATCGTCTTCAGCACATTTCCACCGACGAGTCGCATGTGAGAGCTCCTGAAAATCACATGGTGCCATTGCAGACCCTGCACAATGGGCTGCTGGAGGCACAGGCAAGCTGCTTCAGCAATGTTCCCTTCGTTTTTCGAGCTGCAGGATCAGGTGTCCGGCATCTCGTACTGGCGTTGCATGTCCCGCTGTCCCTTTCTAGGGTCTTCGTATGCTCGAATGTCTGTGCAATGGCAGCTGGCACCGCGACCACTGCACAGAAGCATGCTCAGGCAGCACTCGCCCAGTAACACTTGCACAGATCGACAGAGGGGCTTGAGGATATCGCTGTTCTTTTTGGAGTCTTTCGCTTAGACTGAAGCAGACATTTAGGCCCTGTGTGTGAGACTGCGAGTGATGGTGATGACCCTCAGCCGACGATGATGATGATGGTGATGCAGGTGATGATGATGATAAGGAGATGATGCTGGTGATGATGAATACTGTTTTATGATGACGACGGAGAGGGAGGATTATATGATAATGAGCATATGAGGCGTTGCCTGGCTGCGGCGAGATTGACAATGATCGCAATGCGCTGTATGTGACATGGCCAGACAATCGGGCCAAGGAAGTACGCTTTCACTTTCTGTGTCAAAGTCAAAGGTCTAGCTATTGGCGGTAATTTGTGGCGCATGAGAAGCAGTGGATTCGCAAGTGCAGTGGCATCCTGAGAGTGCCCATCCTACCAAGATCAGCGGGCTCCCGAACGACACCGAGGAGATGTTGTCACAGCTCCACAGTGTTTTCCTCGTGGGACGTTGCTTTTTGGGCCCTAGCCCTCGTAACTTCAGAGCACATGGTGATGGTGTTGAAAGCTGGCTCCGTTCAACTGGACTGAAGATTATCCGGCATCCGTCCGGAAGTTCCCTGTAAGTCTCTAAGTTCAAAACTCCGCCTTCTCTTCGATACAGGCTAGTTGGGACGATGAGAGACAGTATGCAGGACATCGACCTGTATCGAATCTTCGCACCCTTTGGTGCCATCGCTCCAAGGGCCGGTGGCCCAGTCATTGCTTCTTAGAGTTATAGAAGCGCCTTTGCTGTGGCTTCTCCCCCTCTTCGGTTCTTGCTGTTCATGCATATGCAGGTCAGATTAAGATGCTATTCGGCTCGGGTTGATGGAGATTCATGATTCAACGAATCCAAAAACACTTGGCTCCTTCCCGTTGCACTGACCCAGGGCGTGCGAGCAATGCGGCATCCGGATGGCTCATGCCAAGGTTTTGGGCTGCAGTCTCAGATGTGGCCGGATCCAGAATCGTGCAGTTGTCCAATGCTGGTGGGCATTCGGAGGTCTGAGCTTATTTTCAAAGCTTTCCTGCCCCAGCGCCCATGGTGGAGCTTCCTGTCGAGGTTCGTCAATTATTTGGAGTCCGGCTCTGTGCAGCTGGCTGCAGCCACGCTTCACGGGTCGGGCCTCCAAGCTCTCTTCGAACTCTTTACAGTGGGTGGTGATATCGTGTTTTCTGCTGTCGATAGGTGTAGCATGGGCATAGCATGGCTTGTTCGCTTGAGCACCGCAATTCATGCGCTGGTAGAATAAATTCGTGGCCTGCGGAAAAGAGTGACACCTGGCTTGAATTCATGCAACAAAGTCACGCGCCGTCCTTCCCTTTCAGCTTATCCTGCCGACCACCTTTTAGTTGTTTTGACAAGTGAGAGCACAGCGCAAAAATTGCAACTAGCTCTGGCAGAGTAACTAGGCCACTGGGGCTCAGTGCATGGGTGTGGTGTGCTTCCGTTCTTCTGTTCAAAGTGCAGCGGTCGAGGTTGACAAGGGATGTTGTACCTGTCAGGCCTGCACAGCAATCGATGTTTTGCATTTCTTCTCGACTGGCCACATGCAGCAAGGACGCAGATGCCTGGCGGAGCAGAGCTTATCGTCAAGCCGAAGGACAGGCTCACTGAGCCTTGGGTGGCGCGGGAACGGTGTTCCAAGCCGATCCCCGAAGTCCTTGCTGTGCGAAACATGTTCGAGCCTTGCAGTCCTCAGTGAAGGCCGTGCTACGCCTCTGAAGGAGCCAGGGAAAAAGAAGCAAGCGCAGAACGGACTGGAAGGTGCCTTGTGGGATGTTGTCGGCATTGGATGTGCATCATGGAGTTTCAGTCCCTCGTCCGACGCGTAACAACCACGCAGCGCCTCTTGCGAATGGCGTCAGGAAGTCCGATGGCTGCGCAAGGCTCCTGGGATGAAGTTGCGCTGCACGATGCCGCCCAGCCCCAACATATCTGACCTTCGTTCCGCACGGCTCGCAGCAGGGCATGCATGATTCAGTCATCTTCCGAGTGCAGAAGTGCTTTTCAATTGCAGGTGGAATTTCACACAAAGGCAGTGTTGATTGAAGCCGGTTCTTGCCTGATTTCGATGAATGGCATGTCGTTGTTGAACACATTCTGTGGCAGGATGATGGCAATGTGGCTGATGCGCGTCTTCGTCTCCAATGTTTTGAGCTGGGTAGTATGAGGCTGGCGGCCTAAGGACTGCAGTCTACGCCGAGGGGTGGAATCTTGCTCGCGTGGACTCATCCCCACCACCCATTCCATCATCCCTTTTCACGGAAAACAATCCAAAATCCAAAGGGTGCAAGGATCTGCAAGGTCTCCCCGACGGCAAGTTAGGGGGCTGCCGCGCTGGATAGCGTGAAATACGGCTGGAAAGTCTTGGCACGTTCTTATGCACATGCAGAACCCGATGCCTCCGAAAAATGGCACAGCGAGACATACTGGTGTTGTGCGATTGCATGAGTATGCAAGTGCTTGTATGTGTCTGTCTTGGAGTGGCAGTGGAAAGCTTCGCCAGTAGTGTAACAAACCACTCGCAACGGTTCCGTGCGCACCCCGCGGAGTTTCCGAGACCACATGCAGTGCAGCGTGTTCAGTCAATTGTGCCCTGACCTGCTGACGTCGTGGCTCTGCATGGTGGGCTTTCCTTACGGACCAGTACTGTGGCAGCCGGTCGGAATGCGACATGTGTTTATTCACGTTCGACCATGAAGGATTGATTGCTGGCACAAGTTCTTGGTGTCTCTCATGTTACTGGATGAGGCAAGAAACTCTTTCCCAAGCTTCCAGAGAGCCCAATGAAACTTGTAGCCCGAAAAGCTGGAGCTCAGAAGCCTGGCCCTTGGAAGCCTTTGGAAGCGCCATGGACCTCGTGGCATCCTTCTTTCGCACAGGCAGGTGAGTTGAAGACTGCATGGAGGGGAAGCCGCGCGGGCGTTCTTGTGTAGGAGACCTGAAAACTATGGACAACTACAAGGATTACACCTGCACGGGCACTTACAGATGTATGAAGCAAGCATAGAAACGAATGCACAGGCACCAAAGCATGCAGCACCCACACATCCACACGCATATCTACAAAAGCGTCCACGTATATATATACATGTATGTGCTCATGTTCTTGTGTGTGTATATATATATGTATATATTCAACATGTATACATATAGAAGTATATGCACATCACGCACATGCATGCATGCATCGAGGAACGAACTTGATGGGCAGCGATGCCCTTTGCTGCCGGCGGCGAGTAGCTGCGAGAATGCCAAAGCAAGAACTGACCAGGTTGGATGCGCCGGAAAGATCTGAAGTCGGACTTTAACACTTTGGCTCCTAAAGTGCCCCAACGCATCCGCAAGCGCCGTATTCAAGGCAGACTGGGCAACTGCGCAGGTGTCGCTTCTGCTCGAGGTCTTCGACGTTCCCTGCGTCGAGGTCCTTCTGCAAGGATGTGAGAGCGGATTGTCAAAGTTCTGGAGCAGGCTTCCTTTGCAGCGTCTATGTGGTCAAGGCTGGATCACAAAAAGCCGCTGAACATCTCTCGGAATTGCATTCCTGCTGCAGGAGCGATGTCTCGGCTTTTACGATGGCCTTGCAGTCCGCCTAGCGATTCAATCCTGGTAAGCACGCGCTGCTCGCAAATTGCCAAATTGTGGGTTTGCTTTTAAGTGAGTTTTATACCTTTGCATACTTATGTACATAAACACATATACATAAATAAATACATGTATACACATATACATATATACATCTCTCTCTTTCTCTCTCTCTATATATATATATACACACACATTATGTATATGCACACACACATGTATATATATATATATACATCTGTAAATCTACATATATACACACGTATATTATGTGTATATGAATATATCGCACCATGCTCCAGCTGAAGTTTTGACACGAGTGTGCCTGGCCTAAAGAGCCTGTGCACCACTGAGATGGTCTCGACGCACCACCAAGACCCTGTGGCCGAGGCTGACACCTTGAACTGCCAGAAGCGGCGCCAGCTGCAGTGGCGGCGGGCAGCTACCTGAGCAAACGCAGACGAGTGACTTCCGACTTGCTGTGTAGTGCGCCCGTGCGAGTAGGAACAAACTCCTGTGGTCTCCGAACCTCCTTGATAGATCTGGATCAAGGAATGCTGCGTGGCCAGCTTTCGTGTGGGCCTGAGGGTTCTTTTCGTCAGTCCCAAACATGTAGATCATTGGATTTGGGTTTCGCCGCGGCTTGAAGCCTTTGAGCGAACCAGTATCAGGTGGGAGGCGAGAGGCTTTAGGTAGCAGCTGACAAGTGTGACGAAGCCTGCTTTCAACGTAGCCCGAGTTTCGACTGACCGCTTTGTGATAGATATGGGAGTTCAGGTACGAACTTTGTTTCTGCAGGCACGAACTCCGGAGCGCTTGCCGCGTCGAGGCCCGCTGATAGTTGTATTTCTGGTTGGTCCAGATTCTGGCAGTATAGTCCTGCTGTTTGGCGTTCAGAGTTCAAGCGTTCGGGTGTGCAGGACTACCAAGCCGATGGTCTACGATTTCACTGAGTTTCAGCACGGTGTGCCGCCTGACAGCTTGCCAGAAGCAGATTGACCAAGATGTTTAGATCCAATGGTCCAAGGGCCTGATAGAACCCGCTGCATGCGCATCTCCGAAGCACCAATCTGCTTCGAGAGATCCTCTAAAGCAAAGGTTCAGTGCAGAAGCGGCCAATGAGCCTGCAACGCTCGCATCGAGAGACTCGACCATCCTGTGCTGAAGTGCCGAAGGGAGAGACTCAACTATCCCACATTGGCGTCCCCGGAAGCCGTCCCCGGACGCCTCGTGCGCCAGGACATTTGGGAACCTGGCCGTGGCCACGTCGGCTCCAGAGTGCATCCCAAGGGCCCGGCCCGTCTGCGCAGGAGGCCCCACGTCGCGGCTTTTGGTCGTCTTGGCCCTTGGCGCTTGTGCCGCTGCTTTCAGGCCGATGAAGCCCCGAGCCCTGCTGCTGCCGCTTGCAGTGCTGGCACGGGACCCGGCCCGGCCAGCCGTTGCCTGGCGTTACGATCCTCACCTTGTTTTGTTCTGAGCTGCTGAGCCGAGGCCCTGAAATGGAACTGCTGGAGCTTCCTAGGCCACCCACCGCACGGGGTTCATTTTCCGTGTGTGGACCTTGCTCACAGGTGCTGGCTCCAGATGGTCACCTCGGCGCTGCTGGGCTGCAAACCCGTTGTGGAGGTGCAGATGGCCAGTTTCCCAAACTCCCAAAAATAGCCTTCCTGGCAACCTCCCAGGTGCGCTCTCGAAGCGACGCGCCGCAGATGATCAGCTTCCGGAGGCACTTGGAGCCTGTAAGAGTCGGCATGCATGAAAGGCTCGTGCAGTCTTGGATGCTAAGGCACCACCCGGCGGGCGGGTCATTCACGTCGAGTATTGCTGCAGCCTCGACTGCTAGACTTTGGTAGGTACGGATGGAATCGGATTGCTAGCAGCTGCTGTGATGTGAGACTCTTTGGGTCCAGTGGCATGCACACTGTAGTTATCGCCATCCAGCAAAATTTGCGTATAGCCGTCGGGGGCCTGAGCTTCTGGACGCCAATCAGAAGGTCCTGGCACACACTGAAGGCCTCGCTGTGCAAAGCCTCCAGGAGCTTTCTGCCGAATTTTTGTCACCTTGCCAAGCTGCTCTGCTCTTTCTTCTGGTCGCGCTGTAGCTGCACGATGGCCGGTGGCAAGGATGGCTCGGGAGCTACAGTGCCAACGCGAACTGGCCGCTGAATTCCCGATTGGTGACACTAAGCAAGAAAGTGCGAAGGTGTCTGCTGTGTTCCTGTGCTTACTGTCCAAGTCCTGAAGTGGCTGCTGGGCCTTTGTGGGCGCACCGGAATCTCTCTTGCTTGGGCCGGCTGGATGTTATCACGGCTCAAGCTGTCGACAAGGAACGTGTGGATGCCTGTGGGCCCCAGATTCTCACATTGAGTTTTATTGTCTTTCGTTGTCGCTCTCATCCACCTCCGTTGCCTCTCGTACTGCCGCTGCCGATTTCGCAAACTGCTTTGCAATCTTGTAACTTTGGCTTTCCGTCGATGTCTCTCCGCCCGCGTCTTCTCCTTCAGGGGCTGGATTTCTCCGGTCTGAACCAAAGACATGGTTTCGCTCCGCATGATCTCACCGAGCGGAGGTTTAGGTTTCGCCCCCTGCTCCAATGAGTCAACGATGGGTCCCCCATACACGCCGCCCTTTGAGTTCCGGCCGAGGCAACGATTGTAAGTTCCTGCCGCGCTATCTCAAGCTGAGGAAGGCTCGAGATCACAGACCGTCGGAGTGAGCTGCGGGTTGGCGTGGGCGGCGGCGAGGGGTTTTCGGTGCTGTAAGTGCAGGAAAGGTTGGGACAGACATTTCTGTGGAGGCAATGGCAGACCGCTTTGGTGAGCGGGTCCTCTGCTTCGGCAACCACGAGGCATTCCAAGAGCTGGCCCAGACCAAGCGTTGGGAGTTGACTTTCTGCATGTCCGAAAGGAGACCTTGCAGGAACTCTGCAGGACGCCCAAGCCGCGCTTGAAGCTAAGTAACGCATCGCAGAAAGCTGCAGCTGTTCGCACGACAGTATTGGCACCGTGCGGATGCCATCCGTCGCAATTCAGAGCCAAGGCGCCGGCTCCTTTGAAGTGGTCGATATGCAGTCGAAGAAGTGCCCTCGGCGACGCTTTTTTTCTGCTGGGGTTCTTCCTTCAGGCTACGAACCGGTCGAAGCACAAGGTTACAGTCCTTAATCCTCTTCATGTTTGAGGGCCCGCATCAGGGAATCAGTGCACGAATTGCCATGAATGGCCCCGGTGTTGGAGCTCCTGCCCGCCGGTCGAAAGCCCTCAGTTCAATTCAGTGCGTCAGAGCGGGTTTCTTTCGTGAAGGTGCCTCTACACAAAGCTCGGCAGCCTGAGCCCGAAAGCTGATTTGAGCCTAGTGGAACAGGGCGGGAAGCGAGTGTACTTGCGATCTCTTGTTGTTTCTCCAGTCCGCCTCATCGAGGTGGGCTCCATGTCACTGAGAGGCACCAGTGTGTCGCCACGGAATGCCTGGAGAAGTGCTTGTGACTGACCACGAACCATGCTTTCTTAGTGCCTACAAGCCGATGACAAGAAAGTACACACCAAGTCTGGGGCGGACAGGGATGCTGTTTCGGCTCGGAGGCAAGAGTGGATGGACCAGCTCTTCGATGAGATTGAAGCTCTTTGCGAGGCTGCAGCTGTTTTCAGCCTTCTTACATTGGGTCAAAGACCGGGAGAGCTGAAAGTCGAAGCCAGGCCGGCTGAAGGCTTGGAAACAGGCCTTGGAAGCCGCAATGCTGGGATGCTCGGCTTTTGAGGAATGCTTCGGGGATCTTAAAGCCTCATCGTAGGCACCGTGTTGCAGTGTATGCTTGCGATTTGCGTTGATCAACTTCGAGGCGCAATCTTTGTACATGTGTGCTTGCAGATCTTCCTAGGTGTTTTCGAGAATGTCTAGTGGTTTTTCGATGAACAGAGGGCGGCAGTCGATTGGACATCGGAGCGTGAGCCTATGCAGGTGGAGCCCAGTGAGAGCATCCGCCTTCGCGTTCATGTTCGGACGCGAGGATCCTGGCCACTGCATCTCCCGGCTTTAGATCCACCGAAAATTTCGGCTAAGAGGACTTCCTCGCAGCCGCTTCTGCTAACGACGTCTGCATAGTCTTGCCTGCAGTCGCTGCAGACATCCCTCGGTGACGCAAAGGCAAAACAACTCCAGCGCATATGCATCCGTTCCCTGGGACAAGCCATGACAAGCCTTCACCCGAAATCATGCAGAGTGTTTGCTTGCGGCGGATCTGCATTTGCTGTTGAAGGGTTGGATTGCCAAGAAGTGGGACCGCAGGCAAAGTAGGCATACTGCGTGTACGATTTTGCAAATGTTCTTGCAACATGTGGGAGTGTATGTTGTGCCACACAATTCAAGTGCAATATTGCCTGCCCTGCTTCTCGGCTCCGCAGATAGACCCGCACACAATGATGCCAACTACAACTGCTTGAACACAGCGCAGCCTTTCAGCTAACAGCCCCACTCATAAACAACATTCTTCAATGCTGAAGTGCACCGCAACCGACAGTCAGAGTTCTGTGACTCAAGGTGCTTGAGTTTGGCTTTTCCGCAGTTCAAGCCCCATGAGTCCAGAAGCCCAACTCTACCCTGTTTAAGACCAAGCCAAGGGCTACGCCGCTACACGTTGTGACCCCGATTGCCTTCCTGGCCCAGCATGTCAGACGAGGAAATCACCGAGGTTGCCACGGTCAAGGTGCACTGTCTGTTTCCAACAATTTCAGAATGATGGTGAGCCGTAGCTAATACCACATCATGCTGCAGAACCTTCACTGGGGATGGAAGCTGTGGTTATCTCTGGTCGCACTGGATCATTTCTCAAGTTGCTGGCTGCTAGGTGAGCATCAAAGATGGCAAGATGCGAGAACTCAAGGCGCTTGACGATGTTTCCCTCCATGCAAAGTTGGTGTGACGTGAGCCGATTTGCTTTATGACCGTGACTGTCAAAGGCGGCGATGGTTGCACGCAGCTGTGAGGCATCAACGTGCGGCCTAACCATCGGGGGTTTCGTTTGCCAGGGTTTCGTCGAGGGTCTTGAACGGTGATCGTCACGCAAGCGCAAGTGAATCTTTGATCCGGGTTTCGTTGCACATTCCTAGCCTATTGACAAGCATTCTACAATTCTACAATCCGTAGCGAACAGAAGCTCGACATGATAACGAGTGTTCTGAGAAGCATATCATGTCATATTCACTTCGACTGCATTGCTTTGTTGCTGGGCGTTCGGTAAGAGAGTTGGCACTGCTACTGCCGCTGCTGGTGCCTCAGCTCGTCCACTGGCATGTGCTCTCGTGGAACAGGACATGGAGCCTCTGCGAATGGCCATCGAGCGTGGCCGGGAGGTGTGTGATTGAGAGCTGAAGAGAGGTGAAGATATGAAGAGGCTCATTGATTTGCAAGAGGAACGGTCGTCGTGTCTTTAGCAGACTGACCCTTGTCGACCCTTCATGGCCAGCACGGCAGACCCCGACTACGCGAGAATACCATCCACAAATTTCGTTTCCTGTCAGGCGGGGCTCGAGCGTTCGGAGATCGACAATGCCGTGCGGATCTTGCACGACTTGGAGGCGCTATGTTGTGGCAATGTGGGAGTGAGGTACATCGCGCGCCCTCGCATTTAGACAGCGCGACGGTATGTGGGACGTGTAGAGCAGACCCTTCGCTGCTGGCAGTTGCGCACCCAAGCCGTCGCTTTCACGGATGTCCCGCGGTCGGACATTCTCAAGCTGCAGGCCTTGCTTGGCATATCTCGGCATGGATCAGATGATCAGGATTCAGTCAGACCGAAATTGGCAGAAGTGAGCAAGCAATCCCGCATGGAGTGACGGACCTTCCATTGTAGGGTCGTAGATCGGAGTCGGCCGAAGGCCTGTGGTTCTCGCGATGAGATCGTAGACTCCTTGAAGACTCTGATGAAGCTCAAGGACAAGGCAGGGAAGGGCAAAAGCAAAAGGGCGGTGGCGGCGGTGGCCGGCGCGCTGTTGCCAGGATGGCTTCAGGGCGGAAGTCCTCGCGGAGTTTCATTTCCAGAACTTCGTGTCGGGGTCCGACCGAGCTCCTGAGGCTCTGCAAGGCTGTGCAGTGTAGAGAGACTGGCGACCAGTTCACCGTGTCTCCCAGAGCGTAGTGTCGCCTGAGGTTCTGTCAAAAACAAGGCTACGGACCCGAGAAGGCGCCCTTCCTGCAAAGCGAAAGCGAGCAGAGGGTCACAACCTCTCTCGAGTCTGAGAGATCGGAGTCCAGTCTGAAGGCCTCGGCTTTGCTTTCCATGATGCGCATCCTCCATTCGCAGACCGCACGAGCCCCGGCCTGTGTCAGAGAGCGGCCGAGCCTCGGACCCTCTGCGGTCGGAGCACTCACGGGTGGAGGAGGAGCAGGAGAAGGGAAAGCTCAGGTCGTTGGCAAGAAAGACATCGAGGAGGCCGGGGGGGCAGCAGGGCCAGCAGGGGGGGAATGGAGCAGATGCCCCCCGGCCGGCACGAGCTGTGAGGCGAAATCCTTGCTGGAAGATCTCCTTGCTAGGCTGGGCGGCGTGGGAGCACCCACAATACTTCGATTCTTGTCCTTGGGGCCAGGCATAGCCGGCAGCTGCCGCCCTTCAGTTTCTTCCTCAGAATTCCAAGCTGCTGGCCCTGCTGGCCCTGCTGGCTCTGGTCACCCTGGCCCTGGTCTCTGCTTGAGAAACGTGGCTCGGCTGCCTGGGCTCTGCAGGCGTGGGAATCTTCTCTCAAGCGGAGGTGGCATCGGTCCCCGGCCCGCACGAAGAAAGTGCAGAAGTAGAAGTTTGCTGCCTGGGAGCTTCAGAAGCCTCGAGTGAGTGCACGTGGAACTGAGATTCGCGACTACGCGACGAGGACGGCATCTAAGCTTCCTAGCCGCTGGCAGGCTGCAGTTGGAGTGCTGAGTCAATGCGATAGACGCTCCCTCTGTTCCCGACTTGCTTGTCCCCATACTTCGGCTCTACTTGCAGGACTTTTCTTCGACACTTCAAGATGTTTCAGTTCATCTACCAGCAGTGCAAGGCGGGAGCGGCGGGAGCTCGTGCAAAGGCCCAAAGGTCGGGCCGGCCGGCCTGCGGGCGGTGGTCAGTGCTGTGTGCTGCCAGGACCTGCGCATTCGCACGATCGAAAGCAGGGTGACGGCACGGGCGGTGGCCTTGGAGAGCCTTGTCGCCCGCTGTCCGAGTCCGACCGAGCGAAGCTTCGCTTTCTCCAGGTTCCGAGCCCTGCGCCACTCCACACGGACTTCGAGCTCAATCCGCACGAGGCCCCTCCTCTCGCCATTTTTGGCTTCTTGCATACCGCGTCCGCGAAGATGACAGGTTCCCCAGCTCCAAGAGTTCCTACGCTCCGAGGCCGACGCGATTCGCGCCATGTGCGAGTCGCCGCCATGGCTCCATCGGATCAGCTTCCCTCTGCGCCTCCTAGCGGTGCAGGCCTCCGAGGAGGTCGTCGACAGCAAGGAGGAGGGCGCCAGGAGCTTAGGTCCTTCGTCATTCGTTGCTTGATGTTCATGGCCGCATCGTTGCAGGCCGGGGTGGAGGCAGCCGATCGGCGGCGCGTCCCACAGAGTGCGGCAGAGGCGTGAACACTTTAGAAGGGTCGTCGTCGGTCTCGGGCCGATATCCATATGTGGGCTAGTTTTGGGTTGACTGCGGCTATGGAGGCCCTCGGGCATGAAAGGGCTTCCATTTTGCGAGGCAAAAGTGGCCGAAGTCATGGACGAAGTGCTGAAGGCCCGCAAGCCGTTGCTGATCAGCGATCTCGGCTTTTCTTGGGTATCCATCAACATTGCAAGCGCAAACATGCACGGGCATTTTACGCAAGCAATTCCACACACGCCTACGGGTTTCCATTGTTCATTCCCTGAATTCCCGTTGCTGCCTGAACGGGCTCGGATAGAGGCGAGACGTGAGTTGGTTGTGATGTAAACAATGCACTGGCGTTACGTGCTGCTTTTGAAACCGTCAGTGCCAACCTTCAAAGCTCAAGCTCTCCTTGAATCTGAGTCGAGAACTACAGTGGTCCCAACCGCGTTCTGTGCTGCGCAGAACCACCTCGGAGACCTGGAGTCGCGCATGGCGTTGCCTACTTGAGCTGCTTTGCCGGCCATTTCTGGGCGCTACCGGTTCAAGCCAGCGATAAACAACGGCTCTTGCTTCAGTCCTCACTCTCAGAGAAAGTTCGATGGAGGTCTTCACCCATAGTGACCCGTAATTCCCAAAAGCGTTTCACCCGAGGCATGCAATTCCTGGATGTCCTGGGTAATACCCCAGGAAGCGTGGTTGTTGCAAGAAGTGCTGTGTTTTGTTTGCTCGTTTCTGTCTCTTGCTCTCTCATTGCCTGCCTCCACTTTCTTCTGCACTGCCGCAGCCATTTGGGCAAGGGTTGCTGTGCCTCCTACATCCGGAGCCAGCCGCAGAATGGCACAGACGCTGGGACAAAAGCAGCTCGTTGTTGATTTCATCGACCGTCATCTGGAATCGCGCAAAGGCGTATCTTCAATGTGCTCGCTGTCCTACAGCTTGCAAGAGCGGGCTGCCCTGGTGGCCCCAGCGACGTCTGTGATGGAGGCTCAGGCTTCAAAAGGAAGCGCACAACTGAGTTTTTTTTACACCTGAAGGTGCCAGCGACAATGTCGCAATGCTTCAGGGCCATCGACATCACGGCGTTGCAACCCGCCTGAGCCGACACTGATTATATTCGTGCGCGTAGGGGTCTTAGGAGTCTAGGCCTCGTTCAACGGTGCGATCCGTGAGCCGAAGATTGGAACGAACGTCTCTTCTGCTTTGGTGCTGGAGTTACACTTGCCCTCGGGTCGAAGAAGCGACGCATTCCTTGACAATCGCACTCGCGGACTCTCTTCCGAGGCGTCTCATAGGCGTCTCCTTGCCATGGAGGCTGGGGGCTGGTTTTCGCAGGCCCTTCTGGTTTTGGCTGGGTCGCCAAGGTCAACACCACCCGACAACGTGGCCGCCCACGTGTCTCTAAAGGCGCTTTCTCAGAAGCTCGGGGCCTCAAAGGGCCTGCGATGGAGCTTTGAGCGCCTTCCTTCTCGCCCGAGGTCGCAACAGGAGCAGAGTTCCAGATCAACGAGGCACATGGCATGGGTCGTGTGATGGGCCGTGTGCCAATGTTCGCAGCAGTGCCTCGCAGTCCGGCTCCTGCCAGGACGGGGTCTGGAACACTTACTTCCTGCCTGGTGCGAACATTATTGACAAGCGCACGGTGGAGTATGGCATCAATGACAAGTACTACCTCATGTTGCTTGTCTTTTCGAAGCTGTAGCGGATTGACGACGTGGAGCTTGGATTGGTTGAATATAGCCTTTAGAGTGCAAAAATCCCAATACTGCGCCAGTATCTGCCTTGAGCTTCACTAGTTCTAAACGCTGTCTTCACGACAGGAACCAGATGAGATTGTGTGCAGTTGTGCAATGTCAGGAAGTACGACACCACGGACACTTGCAAAGCCGGAAACTTCGAGATGCTCAAGCTGCCAGGGAAGACTATCACAGCAACCGTTTTTTTGCTCCTTGGCATGAACCCATAGCAAACAGGCAACTGGAACTGACGTCTGGTTTGAGCAACGCTACACCCCCGGCAAGGAACGGGGCTGGTTGTGGCTGCAACGCTGCTTGGGAAAGCAGTTGCAGTTTCGACTTTTCGTTCTTAAGACTTCTGTGGAGGACTTATGCGTGGAGACTCGACCATGTTCGAATTGATTTGTCTCCGGACTTTATGTGTCCACTGCCAAGAAGTTTTCGATGGTTTCTCCAGAAAGTCCTGTAACGCTTTGCACGTTGCAGTGCAACTCGCAGCTCATGTTTGAACGAGAAGGCAATCGTGAGGTTTGTAGATGTGGGGTGCAGCTGTCGGGGCTTTGCTGCCAAGGTGAATTTCTTCTTGGTGGCAATGCCGGCATCGTCGCTGGGATCCTTGTCGGCGAGTTTTGAATTCTCTGCTCGAGAGAGAGTGGTGTTTTTGGAGAGCCCTGAGCCATCCAGGCGAATACGGTGACTGCTACTGCGATGCCAACTGCGTGGGTGGCAACTGCTGCAACGAGCTTCGGCGGCTTCGGCTTCTGAAAGAGAAGCCTCCAGCACTGCAGTTTCCTACGATCCAGGAATTTGACCTGAACGAGATGAACACCCATGCGGTGCAGGCCTGTGTGGGTGTTCCGACCAATGAATGCGTCTGCTCGGACAGAGATGATCATCTCCGAATCTCAACCCCTTTTCGAGCCTTCTTCGCTTCAGAGGTCACAAATCATCTCTGCGGAGATCCGCCCACGCACGAGACCTGCGACGGCAACGGAAGTCCGGTCATGAAGTTCCTGAGCTGAGTGGCGTTTTGTATTTCGACGCAGGGTCTTAGTCTTCAGCGGTGCAGCGGTGCAGAAGTGCGCGAATCCAGAATTGACAGGATGTCATGATGTGATTCAGCATCGCATCTGTCCTGCGGGTGCATGCGGTAGCGTTCCGTTGTTGCATTCTCTTCTCAGCATATGCTTCATGTCACCAGTCTCGTCATATGCTGATCCAAGTTTCTCACCGAATTTGTTTGGTCCGGGAAATGGAAACACCATCGACACGGAGCACCCCTTCAACTATTCAGACTCTTGGCTATGCGGTTGCTTCCAAAAGACTTCTCAGGATGGGTATTTGACTTCCCAACGGTGGTTGGGGACCAACCTTGGATTCAGTGTGCAGTCAGACAGTCAGACCCAAGATGTGCCAAGTTAGGATACTGACTCTTTTCGGTCATAGTCCGAAACTGTATAAAAGATTGCCCTGCTCATCATATGGCCAGGTCCAGTTTCAAGAGGTGATCTATTCGGAGCACAACCCAGACAATCACCTTGTAGTCGCAGCGACGATTCGTCAGGCAACTGTGTTTGAGTGCCGGGTTCATGACGGCATTCTTCTTCAGCCCCGTAACAGAGCGACTCGTGGGAAGCATACCCCCTGCATCGCAGTGCAGTGCCGCTCATAGGTTGCGTGGGGCCTGGGTTGGCAGAATTTCGGTTTGCTTGTGATCGTTGTCAAATAGCTTGCATTTGAGGCTGATGACTTCGTTGTTGCCATCCCATGTGTTTGCTGTTTGCTGAGCTTTTGGTTCACCGGGTCATGTCTGGGAGCACTTTGCAGACGCAGGGGGACAAAGTGGTCACCAACACCATGGCCAATGCAGCCCTTACCGGACGCGCAGCTGCTTTAGTCCAGAAATAATTTCGTGGTCGGGACATAGTCTGGCCACGGTAGGGTTGACGTCATCCACAGCAGGCTTGATACCAGTTCCTCTGCAACTAAGGTATGTGGTCACAGCTCGCAAGCGGAATGGTTTTGGTCTTCGACTACTGGCAAAGCTTCTGATCTGGGATTTATCCATTGGAATCTATCGGGCATGCGCTAGCTGGCAGGTGTTGCAGGAAGATGAGGCGTGACTATTCCCGTCCTGGAGTGTTTGCAGGAGTTGTAAGAATCACCCTTTAGGTTTAAACACGAAATCAAAGCCTAGAGTCCTTGACAAGACATAACAGGCTACCGGTACAAACGCTACACACCGGCCACGCGAGAAACTGAACAGAGAGAGGGTCCCGACAAGACCCTTTAGGTTTTCATATTTTTTGCGAAGGATGCCTTGTCTCCGATTCCAGGTGATAGTTTCTGGGCCTGCCACACCCTCTTCCGCATGCGTACTCTGTGCATGCTGTCGCAGCTGGATCGTTCAGGCTCTGACATGACGTGGCTGGATGGCGCCTCTTGTCAGGCAGCCCTAACGCTGACGAACGTTGCCTGAAGATCGCTTTGTTGTCGAATCGTATTTGCAAAAGCTTCTTGGATCTGTGCTGTGTGCTGTTCGGTGCTTTTTTTCTGTTGCGCCATCTGTCAGTGCCGCTCATGCCGTAGTTCGGTGAGTTTTTGCCGTGGAGGCACCAGAATCTTGCTCCGGGAACAAGGCACCGGGGACAAAATGAAGCCTTCATGTTCAGCGAAGTTGCCGCGACTCGCAGGCCCAAGTCTCCAACATGCACATCAGCACAAACGCCTGAGTGGCCGTGGCCTCCTCCGCCTCCCGCGCAGACGAAACCGCTCTTCGCTGTACAGACCTGAGCCTGGCATCGCTGCCTGCCGATGCACGAGCTGCAGCCTGCAGCAATGTCAGGAGAGAGCCAAAGATCCGCTCTAGCACTCCGTGAGACATGTCCCATGTCCGCTTAAGGAAGCTAGAGAAGGTGCTCTGCTTTTGTGATCTCCTTCAGCAGAATGTGCTGAAGGTGTTTCAGTATGTTTCAATGCAATGCAGGTCGAGTCTTTGTTGTCACCCTTTCAGCAGGACCAGGCGGACCCGGCCATGAGCCGGCCTCCGATCCGTGTAACGTGGCCTGCTCCGATCTGCTACGCAGATGTAAAGAGGCGCGAAACACCGCCGAAGAGTCCTCGGGCCAGGAAGATTGCCTGATTCCAACAGAGCCTAGGCACCCTGCTGCCTTGTAAGTCCCGATGCGTACCCTCATAGTGAAGTAAGCCTTGTGAAATGCATCTCGCTGTGCAGCTGTTTTTTAACGTCATGACGCAGGTCCGCCAAGGAGCCCTAGGCAATCTGCATCCTGTCGTGAGTCTAGGTGCATATACAGTGCGCCCAGCAGGCCCGTTGAGGCACGGACGCAACGCTGGCAAACAACTGGCAAACTGCCTAGCCAGGCACGCACACACACAGACATGCACACGCACATACATGCACATACATGCCATACATGCACACAGACACACAGACACACCGACACGGCGCTTAGTCACCGGTGGACTCCACACCGATGCGATTCGGGGCATGGAGCGGCTGAAAGCAGGCCACTTGTCGCACCTGCTGTGAAGCTCACCACTGGTAGCTAAGATGTAAGAAGTGAAGTGTCTTCTTGGACTCAGTGTTGCTCTGTCGTGTCGGAGTGTCGGATCTACGTAGAGGGTGTCGAGAACGTCCTAAGGCTACGAGAAGTTCAGAGAGGCCAAAGGCCATCTCTTGAACGAGGCCAGCCTTTCAGGACTGTTGGGAGAGAGTGCTCTTGGCTCTGGAATGCTCTCTGCCCTATGCCAGGCTGCCGGGCCAGTGATGCAGAAGTTCATGCCTGTGCCGGTCTCGGGCGCCTCGCGCCTCTCTCGCCTCTCCTCTCGCCTCTCTCGCCTCGCTGTCAGGTGCACGCGCACCTCGCCCACGCGAGGCAGCACGCCATCGCCGGCCGCGGCCTCGGCAAGGAGCAGCCCGAAGAGCATCTGCAGCAGATCTACACCGAAGCTACGCCAAATCTCACAGCTGTGCAAGGCCGTTCGGTCACCGAATCGCGTCAGATCAGTGAGGGCGGCTTCGCATTCGTCTGGCTGGCCAAAGCCCAAGTTTACAGCCTGGATAGTAATTCGAGCTGCGGTAGCGTGTGCTTTCGTCTTGGGGCCATGCAAAGGTCCACGATGCCCAAACCAATGAGGCAAGCAATGATCCGCATGTCCTCTTTGCAAAGTTGATCCATTCTCGATGACCGATATTCAACACACGGTACCGCACCTGCCATCATCGCCTGCGTTTGGTTTGCAAAAGCCCGGAAGGAGATGGTCCTCAAGAAGATCCGCTGTCAGGAGTCTCTGTTTTGCTGCTGCAGTTACGCCGAGGTGCTTTCCACAGGTTCTCATGTATAGCAGGTACTTGGCATGTCACTCGACTGCGGAAGCGGTGTCGTGGAATAGCTACACAAACACAAGCAGCGTGCAGACTCCAGTACTGCCGCCACAGCTCTCAGCTCTCAGCTACTCTCTATCAACTTCTACTGCAGGGTTGACCGGTGCATCTAGTCGCGGAGAGCACCTTCTTTTCGACTGCAGCTTCGGTATTGCTGCTTGGGATCTGGAGTTTTTTTGGGACTTTGTTCGACAGGTTCGACAAATTCTGAGGTTTGATCGGCGAGTGTTGTCGACATGAATTGAATTTGGTGCAGCCGATGAGCAGTCTCGCTCGTCCGATCTTGGGGGCTCTCCTGCGCCAGGACAAGTCCTCTTTTGCAATGGCAAGACGAGAAGTTCAACTGTGTGCCCGGCTTGTGTTTTCAGAGTTTCAGGTCCCAAGTCCAGCGTTCATTTGGCTGAGACTGGTGAGTTTGCTTGGAAGCCTCTCTTTGAACTCCAGGCTGGAGAGACTGCCCCGGCATCCCAACTTGGTTCAGTGCGCCTTCACTTGGTTGCACGTGCCGTGTCCTAACTCTGTATTGCCACCCTGACATGGCTGCCGCTTCTTCTCTTTCGTGTTGTTGTCTCCAGCAGGTATTTCGGGGACATTCTTTTGACCGAGGGCAAGTCCAGAGAGGTGGGATGACTTAGGCTGCTTGGTACAGCAGCCTTTTCTCCACCTCTGCCTCTAATGTGCAAGTGTTCCTGAACCGGAGCCCAAAAACCCCAGTCTGAGAACGTGCACTGTGGTCTTTGTCGCAGCATTGCGCTTTTGTGCTCAATCGTACCATGTCTGGGCTCATCACGGAAACGCCACGAGAGTAAAGGAGCGCCAACACGAAGCCAACAAGAAGCACTTAGCACGCTTTGCAAACTTAGCCGCCTTAGCCATTCATCGTCCGTGGACTGCAGTTGCCACCCAAGGAGGTTTCGCACTTGCTCCTCGGGCCCATTGTCTTGAGATTGTTTGCCGGGGCTTGCCAGGGTTGAGAGAAGTCAAGATATACGCTGCGTGAATGGGGGTAGTCCGAAACTGGAACGGTGCTGGGAGTGCTGCGTAAAGGTGAGTCCCGAGCTTCCAATATCTTGAGAGAATAGCTCACGTAGCTCACTCGTTCTGGAGCAAAGCGGCATTCCGAAGTAACGAGATGCCAAGTGGCGTGCACCGAAGATTGCTTGCAGCTGAGGGCCTCATGTGGCGCCGCTTGCGCTGCTTGTCGGCAGCCCTGCTCTACGTGTGCCTGGCCAGGGACACATGCGAGGATGGGTCTTGCCAAGGTCTGAAGCCCAGAGTTGTCTTGTTCCAAGACTGGAAAATGTCGTTGCATGCTGTCGGATCTTGTTGGGCTACGGTCTCCCGCAGGTCATGAGCCCACGGCCATGCTACAAGCCAGGAGCAAGATCAAGGCAAGGATTAAGCGTGTGCGGATGTCCTACGCGTACTTTCAGCTTGAATGTTGGGGCAGAAATCTTGAAGCGCTGGTCATCCTGCGAGAATGCTTCCTTCGTGTTCATTTGGCATAGCACAAACGTGCGCTGGACGATGCATGCCAGCTTGGTGCACCTTTGCCATCATTGCAATGTCGTCAGGCCAACTGCGCCGGAAACAGGTGCGGCCGGAAGCGCCCAAGCTCCGTGCTACAAAGGAATAATCGAGACATGGACAATTAAGGCTTGACAAAACTTGCAGGCCTTCTATGCCTGCCTTCAATGAGCACTTATCTTAAGGAGTTTGGACGTTTGAAGGGTCGGCCCCACAGTGTGGTTTCTGTTTACCCGGGCATGGCATGGGTGACGACTCGACTCGGGCACTCCTCAAGTTTTCAACCAGTAAGCGGTGAAGAAGGCGGCCTCCCGTCCTGGCTGGACAAATGTGGCACAACAATCTGGGGACGAAGTTAAGAAATACGCTTGTGAGGTGGTGCAGAAGTTTAGAGCCTCTTTTTTGGTGGATTTTTGCAAGTGAACGAAACGAGACCTCTACAGCCGTCCGCACTCCACCTGACCCAGGAACGTCTGAGTCTATCCCGGAGTTCCAAATCCAGGAGGCCCGTCCCGAATCTGCTTTCTCTTTCTCGACTTCCATTCTACTAGTAGCTTCGCTTCTTTCTCATATGCATGGCGTAGAGTCAGATTGGCTCTCAGATGTTTAGCACATTCCCTGCATCACCATGCTCGGAGATTTTTATGTTGGGCACAAGATCACGTTGCATTCTTGCACGGCTGCATGGCTTTTTAATAGCATTGCTTTCATTGAGCCACTGTAGATATGAATGTCGCGCAGATGGCAGCACGTGCCCCGACATGTGATATGTCCACAGCTTAATATGAAGACCGGCTCATGTATGCAGGCAAAAGCTTTCTGAGAAATCGAACAAATAGCTTTTCGCGAGGACGGGACCTGGAACACATACTTTTTGCCGGGGGCCACCGTCCACGACAAGAGAGCCGTCACCTATGGCATCAATGACAAGTACTACCTCAAGCTTCTGGGCAGAACATAGAAGCTTCGGATAACATTGGCCTGCGTCTGAACGCTCAGCATCGGTTGCAACAACACTGAGTTTGGCGGCCGGTGTGTCGATGTACAGACTTGCATAAGCGAACATCGCAAGGAAGCTCCGCACTGCGGACAACTCGGAGGCGCAGAACTTCAAAATGCTCGAGTTGCCTGGGAAGACCCTGCCGCTCAGCTATGCTCTATTTGTCACGTGGCACAGTGGAACAGAGTTGGGCTGAGCCAGACTCTTCGACCTCCCCATGATATACCTGTGTTTGTGTTTGGGCCCGCTGGCAGCGCTTTGACTCTGCACCCAGCCGAGGATCGTCGAAGTAGACCTTAATGGCGCCGGCTGCGGCTGCAATGTGCCTCATCTCAAAGTGTCAAGGCCCCATCTTCGACTCGCTTCGACCCGACGTCGCGCATCTTCTCCCAAGGTGAACTTCTTCCTCGTCTCGATGCCCGCTGCACAGCCTGGCGAGTATGGGGATTACTACTGCATCTCGACTCATGCTGCGATGCTTCGCTTGCTTGGTCACATCGTGCCGATGCTGCACCTCCCCCCGCAGCCTTGATCTGAGGTGATGGCAATGGGGTGGGCGGCAATTTCTGCCCCGAGTTCGACACAAATGTTCCTCGGTTTCTGGGTAGTTTTGTGGAACATCTTCTGCAGCTTGACAGGGTCGCTTGCCGAGGCATCTTCCGGAATAGGCTTTCGGAGGGTTGGGGATGTTGACGGGCTCTCTTATGGCAGATCGAAGTCATTGAGTCGCGCCTCGCCGTGTCAGGAGATGAACCAGCATGCACTGCAGATCACGAACCACAACTGCTGGGATCCCTGGAGCAGGCCGGGAGCCGACTTCAGAGCTTTCCTGGTGCGGAAGCGCTTAGGCTTAAGCGCGTGCAGGCAAACCTGCGACGGCGACGGCGATCCAGAGATGAAGTCGGACTCTGAGCCGGTTCTCCGTTTGGGGCCGAGTTGCACGCAGACAGTCCAAATCTCATGTGCCTTTCCATCGAAGGTCCGGTCTTGAAAGTGCAAAGTTGAGGGTAGTACGGTACGGGTACTTGTAGTTTCATCGCGAAGTCGGACTCGAAGCTTTGTCAGCCGGCTTCGTAAAATCCCAGACAGGGTCCCTCCCAACTGGCTTAGTTAGAATTTGCTCCAGTGTCGTCAACAGAGCCTAGCGATCAACTTCCCCGAGAGCCCGACATTTGTAAGCGCCATGCAGTCAGGTTCTACCCTGGCGAGTTCGGGCCAGGAGACTGGAACAAGATTGACACCAATCAGAAGTTCTTCTTTTCAGCTCCTCGGCGTAGGCCTGCAGTTTAGCAGCTGTCCACTCGCCTGCGGTCGGCTGTGTGCTGTTGAGGTTCAAATGAAGGAGGTGATTTACGGAGATTCGGATCCGGCCAACCACTTGATCGTGGAAACCAGGGCCTGGCAGGCAGGTAGTTGAGCGGTTGGGCTTCACGCCTCCGGTCCAACCCCTGCTACGAAGGGGCCCAACCGTGTCATCAAGAAACAGATGGGCGGTGTGAACTCACCCATGAATGGTCGCGTGGCTCGCAAGACGAAGAGCTTTGGAGAAGCCTTGCACCCCTCGCAATCATGGGGATATTCCGATAGATCCTTCCCAAGCTTCTTCAAGCTCTTTCCTACACGCTAGCTGCGGGGACAGGCCTGGCCCTCGCCTAGTAAGGTTAAACTCCGGCTTCGGAGTAAACCCTCTAGCTTTCGATTGATTGAGTCCACAGAAGGGCGAAGGTTAAACAGACGGGAAAGCGGCAGCTGCTACTGTGGTCGGAAGTTGCTCCAGATGTGTGGGAGTGAGAAGGTGAGTGAGGGGAACGAGCCGATGGCACCTGCATGATATGCTTACAGAAACGGAGAGGCCTGGTGTTGTATCCTGCCGACAGTCTGATGCAGCGACTGGGTGCCTTCAGCAATGAGGGCCGGACCACCATACCCCAATTCGATCTATCCCGCTGAGCTCTCTGCAGTCCTGACAGAGTATCCGAATCAACACGCTTTCCTAGCACTTGGGGCAAGCTGGTGCTTTCCACTCCGTTTGCCAGTTGGATTCACGTGGCCAGATTCGGTAGTTGCGCGACATTCGTATCTTTCAGTCCTCATTGCGCTCGGATTGATTGCGCGTGCACACAAGTTCCCAGTTCCCAGGACACTGGAAGGAAGACGTATAGCACTGGGGCGACCACTGCAATTCAGTGCGTCCTTTTCCCAGGTATGTGGGGAAATCTCGCCAAGGGAATGGTCTTGGTCATCGACTATTGGGAGAGACGCTTGGAAGCTCATGGCCCATGTCTGCCTTTTCACGGTGCCTCGGCCACACGCCTGTCAGTCCAGTGCTCAGGCCAGGACCTGACATGGCTGGATGGCGCAGCGTGCCATGCCCCTTCTTACTGTAGTGGAAACAAGGCAGGGCCACACATGTCCTTGTGCGCAAAGCATGGCTGATGTCGTTCTACGTAGTTCTCTGGTTGCTCCTTCACTGTCCATGCGACTTGCCTGTTGTGGCTTCCACCTACCTACAGCAAGCACTTCGGCAGGCCACAATCAGCAACATGCAGCTGATTAAGAACGACAACCCGTCGCTGTCGGCGCGTGAGGGCCCCAGCTCGCAAAAGCCAAGTTGTGTCATGTTCAAGCTGATGCCACAGATAGCTGGCAATCTAACCTGAGGCTGCCCAGCGAAGGAGGGCTACAGCTGCGACTGGGCCGACCAAGAAGGTGCTTGTGACAATGATGACCCTCGGGCAGAAGAGGAAATCGCTTTCGACAGCTGCCGGACAGATTCAGACCACATGCCCGATGCACTGCTGGCTAGGTCAGGGCATGTTGTGGCCTGTTGTAGGAAGTTTGTCGTCGAAGCTCCCTGATTCAACACATTCAACACGCATGGGCTGTAGTGCAGCAAAGGATGCGACGGAGGGCTGGTGTCGGTGCTGCTGCACGAAATGCAGCTTGGACAGAAGACCCGTCAGTGAGGTTCGTTGCTCCAGGAGTGTTTTAGGAAAGTGGTCGGTCGGAGCTTGAGCTCAGGAGTCCTTCCTGTCGCCAGAAACTAGTGGTCGTGTTGACGATCGCTTTGGGTTAAGCACCTGTACCCACATCACACATGTTCGAAATGCGCTGAAAGACTAAGAGCTCACATCGAGACTCCAGAGTGTGCTTTTCGTACCTCCTGGAGAGCTGCCGCCAGGTTCTTCGGTGCCTCGTTGCCTCTGGTCGGGCTATTCCTCCTTTTCATAGGCGGAGCGGAGCCCGGTAATTACCGGATGCAAGCCTTTGCCAGCGTGCATCCCAGGAAGGTTCTTGATGCGCGTAGAGCCAATTTCCAGCCAAAGGGCTGCTAATTAGCTGGTCTCGACAGATCTCGGGGCATCGCCAGACTTTCATCTCGGCAAGTTTTGAACTGTTGTAATCTCCTGGAGTTACGCAGAGCACAAAGGGCTCAAGCGACTCAAGGATCCCACTTTGCGAAGACGGCGGGATGCTTGCATCAGGATCATTCAGGGTTGGCCTGGCAGTAAAGTTTCGACTATTGGGTGTCAGGACTAGGACGGGCTTTGCATTCGATCCGGAGTCTGTTTTGTGCACCTCAACCACTGGACACCGCACACGGACTAGCTTAGACAAGGATGCTGAATACGTAGTCACTGTGCAAGAGTCAGGGTAACGTGTCCGGGGTGGTTCTCGTGTCGTCCTCGTACACGAGTTCGTTACCTTGCAGGTCGGCCTGTTGTTCGAGTTCTGCTCGGGCGGGCACCTTCTCAACTTCCTCGACAAGCATGAGGCAAAGAAACAAAAGCTGCGGAAGCAAGGAGTATGATCAGTATGAATGCACACGTGTCAGTCTTCTTGCGGTCTTTGGCCACAAGTGTACCCTTCATCGTATAGCAAACAATCCATTTAAGAGAGGTTCACGGCATAGGCTACGTGGCTGCCTGCAGCGCCTGCAGGGGAGGCTCTCCGAGAAGCTCATCGTTGAGACTTTGTCCGAAGTGGTGGCAGCTGCTCGCTTGCAGAAGAGCGTGCGAAAGCTCTGGCGTCTAGGACCTGCCGTGACCTTCCTGCTTCTCTTGTCTGAGGGAGTCGCCGTGCTGCACAGCTTTCTGCCACCAGTGCAACATCGCGACTTGAAAGCACCGCTCCTGCAATCAAGTGTGTCTTTCAGGTTCAGGAGGTGGGTGGAAGGAACAAGGCAGCAATGCACGGAGGATTCTGCAGTCCTCGACTCTGTAATGCACAGGGTGCAGTGAATGTCTTATAGATGAAAAGTCAAGAGCAAGACTGTGGCTGCAGGATTTCCAGACAGCGACAGCATCTGTATCATCTTCACAGACTTCGGTTCACGATAATGCCTCCAGCAGACCTTCGCACGAACGTTTAGACTTGGTATGTCCGGGTGGCACAGGTGGAGAACGTGCTTCGGGGGATCGACGGGCATTGGAAGTGGCTTGGATCGGCACAGCACGGAGAGAGCACTCCTCAGCGACTCTGTGAACGCAAGGCTCCTGGACTTCGGCTCATGGAGCGACGAGCGTGGGGCCCTCTGAGACCTTGGTGAAGTCCACATCAGGTTTTACATATGTATGTATATATACACATACATCATTTTGTTGTAAACTATATCTATGCATATGTTCTGTTTTACGTCCATCCATCCATCCATCCATCCATCCATCCAACCATCATGACGCATACATCCATACATCCATGCATCCATCCATTCATGCATGCATTCATCCATGCATCCATCCATGCAGCCATGCATGCATGCATGCAGATGCATACAGATGTATACGGATGTATGCATGCGTACATGAAAGCATGCATACATGCGTACACATATTTATGTACACATACATACATACGTACATACATACATAAATAACTGCATACATACACGCACACACACACACACACTATATCTATAGGTACATACACATATGGTCACATATGTATACAAACACAGGCATATATATATATATATATGTATGTATGTATGTGTGTATGTATGTATGTATGTATGTATGTATGTATGTATGTATGTATTTGTTTATGTATATATGTATACGTCTGTGTCTATGCCTATGTCTATGTATGTTAATATATATGTATATGTACAAGTTTATGTGTATATGTATATGTATGTTTATATGTATATGTATATGTATATGTATATGTATATGTATATGTATATGTATATGTGTATGTGTATGTGTATGTGTATATGTATATGTATATGTATATATATATATATATATACACTCCTGTGTATATGTGCATACATACAGATACACACACACACACACACACACACGTAGGCGCGTATACCTTGTCTGTCTGTCTGTGCGTCCGTCGGTCTGACTGACTGACTGTCTGTCTGTCTGTCTGTCTGTCTGTCTGTCTGTCTGAAGGCATGTGTGTATGTATGTATGAATGATTCTGTAAGTGTGCTAGCATGTATGCATGTATGTAGGTAGGTAGACATGTATGTACATATATGTATGTGTATGTATGTATGTATGTACGTATGTATGTGCTTAGGTAGGCAGGAAGGCTGGCAGGGCAGGCAGGCAGGTAGGCAGGTAGGTACACACAATCATCGACGGAGTTGTGTTAAACACACTACCTGCATGAATTTCCACGCGTGTCCATGCAGGGTTTCTCTCCTTCTGTCGTTTTCCGGTTCTCTCGAATGTTCTTGCTTGTGAAAGTCATGAGTGCCGCTTCGAACGTGCAAGTCTAGATGTCATGTCGCTCACTGACGCCGGTGCTTGCGAGAACGTGTGGCTGACTTCGGAGGGACACAACTTCATGAAGAGAACTTGGCCTATGTGAGCGTGTGTCAGCCGAAACCGCAATCCAGAAGCGCCCTAAAGGCCTCGAGCCGGGAAGCCTGGACAAGCCAGCTCTGTCGGCCCTACAGGCCCCGCTTGTTGTCATTCGTTTTGGCTTTTAGGCTGCCGGAAGCAGTGCAGACAGGAGCAGATCGACAAGTACACCACCATGATCTATCGGTGTTGAGCTGAACATCCGCTGCCTAGTCATGACGGAAATCAAGGTGCATTGCCGGATGCCAGAAGCCCAACACGAACCCCCCTTCTCCTTATGGGGGACCCATTTCCGTCCGAATGGCTCATGCTGACCCCGCCCCAGCACCAGCACGGAGGCAGGCACCAAGTTCAGGATTCCGGCACCAATTTCTCGGTCTTGCATAGAAATAAGCACACTTCAAACAATTGTGACTCGCCACCACGAGCTGAGGCCACCGGAGATGGTTGACTTCTTCGCGGAGTAGTTCCCCCAGAGAGATCGTTGGATAGACTGTTCTGCCAGACATCGGGCGCCGCTCGTGACTGGACTTGAAGGGCTCCAACTGTAGGCTTGTCTCGACTGAGGTTTCCGATCTCAGAAAAGGTCGACGTGTGGATGATCGGCTGCATCCTGTATACCTTGATGTTTTACAGGCCCTTCTGCTTTGCTTGCATTCTATGGCCGTTCTGGCCTCATGCCTCATCCCAGAATTTGCTCAGTATGAAGGTCATGCTGCGAGACGTAGAGCGGATTCAGGCATCCATTCCAAGACGAGTCGCCCCTGGCCATTGCCAACGCGCGCTATCCCTGGCCGCCGGGCCCTCACACGAAGAATTTCCCATATCTAAGATGACCAGACGGAGGCATTCTTTCAAAGGTTGTTTGTGCGCCAAAGCTTTTTTGGCCAGCGATTACTTGGAAGGGGTTAAAACCAGTGCTCCGACATGAACGCCACGTCTTGCCGTCGGGGTGCCCTGTAAACAAAGTCTGTGAAGAAGTGCGGCTGACTTGGACTTCCTTGGGGTTCTTGCCGAGACGCAAAGGTCTACACCGGAGCATTCCGAGAAGCTGCGGGATCTTACACACTGGCTCCTGGCGAGGGACACTGTTGGGTCCGTGTGGGGGATGTTCACTCGGTACAGTTGAAGGAATGAGGGTCGCCTTGAGCACTTGCCTTGTGTGTCAACTTGCTGTGGAATGTGACCTGGCTGTTGGATACTGACAACGCCACAGCCGCGCCAAGGCATAGGCCAACTCGATGCAAGTGCTTGCTGCTTCATTGCTGAGATGCCGTACTTGAGCGCGAGTCTGCAAGATGAGAAATCGTCCAACCCTTTATTACGCACCCCTAAAGACCAAAAGCATGACTCGAGCTGAAGAGTTTGACATCAGCTGCAGCCTCGCACTCATCAGGATCCCTCCCATCGCCCGGACGCCGCATCGCTTCTATCGCTGCTGGTCTGCTTCGACGAGGCAGAGGTACACCCGCCCTGGCCTTAGCGCCCTTGAGGCCCTGTCATCTCGGCGAGGGCTGCTCCTGTCTGTCTGTATGCCTTCCGTTCGCACTCTGCTCAGAAGGCCCAAAGCCGTCCTTGAGAAGTCGGAGAAGTTTCGCCGACTCTACGAGCCGGGCAAGGCGGGGGGCATTTGCGTTGAACGCCTCTGGTGCTCAACACTCGGCTTTTGCATTTTGCAGTCCTGCCGAGAGCCGCAGTCGCCCAGTGGCGGCGGCCTGAGAGCGGTCACTCCGTGCGAATGCCCCGTAGAGCCCCGCCACAGAGCCCCGCAGCGACTGCCTTTTGTGGCATCACCTTCACGGCCAGCTTCAAAGCCATTCGAGGCAGCGATGCCCTGGTGGCCGGCGACAGTGAACGGAAGAGGCCAGGACCGAGCTTTGCGGCTTCGGCACGAGACTGCAAGTCTATCCTTGACATGCATTGGATCCGGCAGAGTGGCACAAGAGGGCCAGATACAACACGGTCGAGGAGGACTCTTGTGCACCTATGCGAACGTAGGTGGCAATGATGATGACCACAACAGAGGGGAAGACTTGCGGCCGTGGTGGTAGCCATAGTGATGAAGAAGCAGAAGAAGAAGATGATGATGATGACGGGGATGCTGCAGCTGCTGCTGCTGCTGCTGCTGCTGCTGCTGCTGCCGTCTCTATTGAAGACGACGACTAACTAGGACATGCGAGGACAACACGACGCTGCCGCCGCCGACGACCGACGAGTCGCATCCAAATTGCCGACGACGACCACTACCACGACCACAATGCCGGCGGTACCACGACGACGTTGCCGATGCAGAAACCGATGCCGACGTCGACGACGGCCACCACGACTGTGACTATGTCTACGACGATGACCGATTCGAGGGGCTGTGCCCACGGGCAGCGCAGGGAAAAGCCTGGAGCAAGGCCACGCCCCCTCCGCCGAACCCCGCTGATGGGGGGCTTCCGCAGCCCACTCAAAGATTGGCAAAACATCGCCTCGCGCTGCGGCCGACTGCTCATGATGCTCGCCGGCGGCCTCCCGTGGTCCGAAACACATGCGTGTTCCGAGATGCCTTTGGGCGAGGTCCCATTCGGCCTAATGGAAAAACGAGGGTCCCATGAAGCAGGGTCGGCGGCACTACGCGTGGTGCCCTTTTGCTGACGCATAGCTAGATTGCTACACTCGCCCAAGGCAAAACTCACAAAACGCATGCGCTCCGGAACCGAGCGCTGTCCGATTCCACTTGTTGGTGGGTGCCGTTGATCTCGATGACGGCGGGCACGATGTGTGAATGAAGAATTCCCCACTCCGGATACCTGCAGGTCTAAACCGCACAAGCACCGGCAGACCTCCAAGAAGAAGGCACAGGCTTGGGGGGAAGATGATGGCAAGCGCTTGTTGAGCATCGGCCGAACTGCGAAATACTGTGCGGTCTGTGTCAGTTCGTTTAGTCCTGGCCTCTACATTGCAAACAGCATCTGCCAAGCCAAAAGCATCCGATCGCCACCAAATTGAAGTTTAGGTACCGGTTGATCAGGAAGGTTCTGGAACCACCGGATTGGAAGCTTACACACAGGACCGAAATAGAGTTGTCTTAGCTTCCAGCATAGATGCAAATGGTTTCCACACACAAGCCCAGATCGTATCAGGGTTCTCAGAGGCTTTGAGAATTGCAACATCCTCTTTGACATGCAAATTTGCATATCTATCTCCGGAGCTCAGATGGGCCTTTTCGAACTCTGCCGACCATGTACCGGTCACTTTCATCCCTCTTGTCCCCTCGGGAAGATTTTGAGAGCCGCCAGGCAGAAACGCCGCCAGATGAGGGCTGGCCTGTGAAGCTCTCGGCTCTAGCAAATGTCTGCTTTGGCGATGCGGAGGCTTAGGCCTTTTTCCCCTTCTGTGAGGCACCGTCAAATCTCTATCAAAGGCCTTCCGAATATCGTTTCTCGTCCTTACTCACTGGATCGACCCGCTCCTGGTGGCCATGCAGCAACGACACGAACAACAGCTTGTCAAGCTGAGCAGGCATAACGGAGTACTCCGGGGACACGTGCTCGTAGGACGTAGTCGGACGTAGGGTAGGCAGGCTCAAAGTTGAATGCAGCATAGACTTTCGAACGACGGGTGAGTTGGCAGAGATTCTTCAATGCGACTGCTTCCTTTGCTTTCCATTGTAAGTCCCAGGCCGCGGTTTCTTCCGAGCCAAGCGCTGAGCAGCTCGCAATTTGGGACTGTCAGGGATGCGATGACAACCTGGTTAATGGTTAAGGCCAGGCTTGAAGTTACAAGGATCCGACAAGCCGCCGCCGTACCTACACCAAGCGGCCCTGTGTGAAGCTCTTTAATCTCTTCGAAGCATCCTCGAGGCTTCAGTGGGCCAACTTTGATGGCTTCCACCAGGCAGAGCCGGAAACGCCGAGCTGGCTTTGGGCCATCGATGCCATCGAGTGTGGCAGAGGAGCCTTCGTCGGCGGGTTCAGCATCGCCCAGTCGCTCGGAAGCGCCGGGGTTCTGCACTCGGCAACCAGACAATTTGCGCTTCGGGTGCGGCTGCTTCGCTGCTTTGCTTGTCAGGCGCGGTGCCTGGGCCCACTTCCAGGAGGCGGGAGCTCGGCACCCGCACCCTTCCTTCCTCACTTCCTCACTTCCTTCCTTCCTTCCTTCCTCGCTCGCTCGCTCACTCGGTCGCTCATGCACGCTCTCTCTCGCGTGGTCTCTCGCTCGTCTCTCGTTCGGTCTCTCTCTCTCTCTCTCTCTCTCTCTCTCTCTCTCTCTCTCTCTCTCGCCGTTCCCTCAAACCTTGACGTCCCTGCTTCATCCGCGAAACGCGGCGAGTCGCACAAAGCCCAAGCCTTCAATATGTCAAACTTCCAGTGGTCCACTTTGTCGTGGGGCGACTTGTTTGAAAGAGTTTCAGCAATTGCCGTCTCCATTTGTTTGTTGAAGGTCGGGCCTTTCTCGATGAAGCTGGTGTGTTTGGATTTCTCGTCTCGTGCAGAGCTCTCGTCGAGCTGGTTGAGCAAAGCTGCCAAGAACGAACCTAAAGAGCGGTGACGAATTGTCGGTGGTGCAGAACGACTCTGAGGATTGAGAAGAGTAGCTTACAGCATCATCGTGCCAAGCCATGGGAGAGTGGAGATCAGATAGGCCCAAGTTCGGAGCAGAGATGCCCTGGGAGGAACCGACACGGCCAATGGAGGTTGCATCGGATCCTGTGAGTGCATCAATTCCACCAGATCCCTGGTCAGCCCCTGGGCAGCGGTCTGTTAGACCGACTAGGCTTGACTAGGCTTGTCCCTTGTTGAACCCCGAATGTCCCGCTCGCACTAGCACACGAAGTCCACGCAGTTGGAAACCAAGGCATGGAGCAGCCCAACGCCCGGACCTTGTATTCTCCGAGATGGTTCTGGCATGAAGCGTTCTTCGGTGTTCTTCAGTTCATCGCCTACCGTGCCTTCGCACCTTTCTGTTTTATCTTGTGCCCTCTGATTCGGAACTTCTCAATTCTCACATGCTGAAGTTGCAGCCCACGGGCTGGAAACGACCTGCAAGAGGCGAGGACGTGATGGTACTAGAAGGGAAGCTCCTGGAATCTCAACAAGTCATGATTGGTACCAGACACAGTGCCATCACAATGCAGTGCCCTCGCCTCGTGCGTTCTGTGAGGCACGAGCCCTCCACTGGCTCCCAGTCGCCGGTCAAGGCGGTGCAACGTGTGGAGATGTGCGGAGGTTGTCAAGACTCGGGCAGAGAAGTGAGACCAGAGTTCGGTCACTGGGGTTGTGCTCAAGATGACAAAGCTCTCGCAGTTTCCATGAAGGCTCCAAACGTCGTTGTCAAGCCACCGGAGCACTGGGCAGGAAGAGGCCGCTGTCGGGCAGGGGGATCCGTTCAGCACGAACCTTCCCAGGTAGCGTTACCTCTGAACGGGCAGATGCAGGGCCAGTACCTCAGAGATCTCGGTCACCGGCTGGGCTGGGCCTTGGCGCCTCGCGGCTGAGTCTTCTGTGTCTTGTGCTGCGAGGTGGCCCCTCGACTCAGTTGAGGCTACCGAGCTGCAGAGAGAGCAGGATTTTGGAGATTCAGTCACGTTCGTGCTGGGCAAGTAGAAGGAAATGTGTTGATGAGTTGCAGGTCTGAGGGTTCAAGCTCAGTGCATGTGACAGGCATCTGACGACTTTTGCTCGCGTGAGGTGTCCGCATGGCCGGAGCAGGAGATGCAGCTTGGCGAATGTAGCCCAGGAGTTGCAAGCGTTTTCTACTCGAACCCTCAGCCGCACATCGGTCCAAGCTGCAGTCCTTATTGGTATCACGCTGGTTTCGAAGATGCCGCAGCTGCAGCATCACCCCATCGTCTTCGGAAAACGCACGGCTTCCGGCTTCGCTCACTTTGTGGCCGGTTACGTCTGCGCAGGCTTCCTTTTCGGGTTGCAAGCTTAACACTTTTAAGACATCAGCGGTTGTGACGGTTCACGCTCCAGACATTGCCGCAGGCTACCATGTCGACATGGTGTCCACGAATGCCGCCTTCTTGGTGTGGCTTGCAGGCCTTGCCTATGCCCTCGTGACACCCTGGACGGCTGCTGAACAGTCACATATAGCTTGGATTCTCATGCTGTGCGCATTCTGCAATTTCTTTGCGATGGCCACCACACGGTTCAACGACTCGGGCTTCACTAGTGGATTGGCATTCTGGCTACCACCCCTCTTTTTCGGTAACTTCCTGCTGCTCTTCGTGGGTGCGCTGCCCACCATGTTGGTTGGAGGATGCCTTTCTGGGTATTTCGTAGCATCAAGCCAGACCGCTCCTGTAACGGTTGCTGTGGCCAGCTTGGTGGCCCTGGCAGCGCTCTTCTTTTACGATGTCTGGGCCTGGCTACCCCAAGTGGGCTATCTGGGGGGTGCCGGGAGCTCGGAGCCTTGGGCTGCCTTCAGAGCCCTCGTCCGCCCTTGGGGCGTTGCTGGAAGAGCTGAGGAAGGCTTCGACAGCTCTTACCAGCGGGCCGGCTTGCTTCCGACTGCTTTTGCAATACCCTTCGTGATGCTTGGCCGCAGTCTGAAGGCTTCTGCTTCTCAGGCAAGATACATTTCAGCCGTCAGATGTTAGATGTTGAGGGTCGTACCAGTAGGTTTCAACGCATCCAAGGGTGTCTGCATCCAGCTCGCCGCTGCTGACCGCACTAGGCCTGCCTGTCGTGCAGACTGCAGGCATGCTTATGGTGATGGCGATTTTAGCCTGCCTTGCTGTTCTGCGCCTCGTCACCAGACAATCAACCAGGCAGAACCTCTGGAATTTTGTCGCCTAGATTTGCAATGAAACCAACGCTGCCCGTGATGGTCCTGGTGCCTGTGGAAACCGATGTAAGCTTCGTTTTCAAGCGTATCTGTCGCGAAGGTAGCAAGACAGGACCCAGAAGCCGAATGTAACACAGAGGCCAGGCAGACAACTGGGCAATCAAGTGCTTCTCACGAGCCCCCGGCGAGATGTACAGTTCGCACGCCAGGCTTTGACGGTTCAACTTTCAAGCATGGCATATCTGTTCAGGAGCTTGCTTGTGTTACGTTTGATGACACGTGTCTCATTCATATTCGGGTGAACAACAGTCCGAATGGTACGGAAGGCACTGCTGATCAGAATCAAGATGGCACGGGCCGGGCATTTTGACTACCTCCACAATGCCTTCAGATGCAACGTTGAGCATTCGACACCCGCAAAACTCACCCCCAGAAAGCCCTGGCTTTGCTGTGCCATGCTTGGATGTTGTCGCCAATGGCCCTGGGAAGCACAAAAGCGCCACGGCTGCGCGGCTGTCTGCGTCTGTCTGCGTTGTGGGAACCAGACGCCCAAGCCTGGCCTCGGCCCCTCAGGTCTGTGCGGCCTGTCTGGGATCCGACGACTGCAAACAGCCCTTCAAGACGGAGGTGACGTGCTCCTTACGAGAGAAAGCATCAAGTGCCACCTCCACCTGCGTGTCCCTGAGACCGGCGAGGCTGAGTGGAGCACCGGCGCCGGACAGCTCGAGCCCTGATTTTCGCACGCAGGTCTTCTGCGCGATCCGTGGCGTGGGGGGGTTCAACGAAACTGAGTCAAGAACGCTGTCGTGGCCATCAAAGGTCCGAAGATGTCGGCTTCTGCTTGGCCAAATGCCTCAGACTTAGAGTACTGCGCACCCACTGCTTGGTTTAGCTCAGTGGGGGGCATGCTCGCGAGCGTGTCATCGAGCAACACGCAGTGTCAGGGCTGGCGACTTGCAAGCTCGAGCCACCGACGACGCTCCCACACTCCCTCACTTACTCGCCACAACAACCAAGCATAATTTGATGCCAGGCTTTGTTAATTGAACGTCCATGCCACGGACAAGTGGAGAAACTTTAGTTTTTTTTCTTGTGGGCACATAGTTTGGATCTGTCTATCTATGTTTCTGTCGATCTATCTCTTGTGATCTGTCCATCCAGGATTATCTTCCGATCCAACTGTGCACTAGCTACTTGTAGCAGCTAGTTGTCTGTCGGCCGATGTCTCTCGCTCCCTGTGTTGGCGTATGTACGCACATTCGTACATACATGCACGTAGACATAAACGTGGGTTGTTCGCAAGCATGAATGTATGCATGCATGCATGAATGTGTGGATGTATGTATGGATGTATGTATGTGTGTGTATGTATGTATGTAAGCAAGAAGGGTCTGGGATCGAGCCGGCCAACAGCGGCATTGCCTGTAGACCCCAGTGACTTCGTCACGACTTTAGGAAGCCCCGCCTGGCATAGACGGCTGAGGGCCCAAAGGAGCAAAGCCCGAGCCGCTATACACAAGTGTCGGGCGGCGGGACGGAACCCGCCTCTTCCTGCTCTCCGCCTTCTTGCGGCACACCACTCGGCGCCTCTTTATAGAGAGCTCGGAGCCCGCATGGGCCGTGGCAGCAAAAAGCAATGGAACGCGGAAGACACCGAATGGGACACATCTGGAGGCTATGGCTCTTCATGGCATCTCTGGAAGGGATCTTGGGCAGCCTCGCCCAAATCCGCGACACAACAGCCAGCACAGTTGCGCTACGATCAGGTGAGTATCGGGCAGCAACAGTGGGGCCAGCAACCCTCTTCCTGGACATGGACGGAGGAGATGGACGACTCCGCACTGTCAGAGCTACCGCCGGGCTTCCGCGAAGTCCAAAAGGCACTGACACAGGCAAAGAAGGCGGATATGAAAGTGCGGAAGCTGAAGGCAGATGCGGCATACAAGAAGGCCCAGTTCGAGAAGTACGAGAAAATGATGAAGCAAGCATTTGCAAAAAACCACAAGCAGTGCGAGGCCGATCTGGCCAAAATCAAGGCGGATATTGCAGCTGCTGTGGAGCTGGGTCGCAATGCTGCACAGAATGTGCAAATGTTGGTCCTGTATGGGCAGACCGTGGAGCATTCCCAACAACGGAAGGAAGCCGATGCCACAGAGCGCTTATGGCACAGCCTTATGGAGAAGGACCAACCGACGGGGCAAGAACAGGGCCCCGGCTTCTTTGCGGATGCCCTTGCAGCCATGAAGCAAGCTCAGCAGGCGGGCTTTGCCCCTACAGCCCCTACGGTTCCGATGCATCCTCACGGGGGTCCTCCACCACCAGCAGAACACCATGGTCCTGCTACGACTCCTCCGCGCCATGTACGTGTTGCTCCGATGTCTCCTCCTCATGCTGCATTTGGGGGCCATACGTCGCGGGAGGAGGCTACTTACGGTGCCCATCGGGGCTCACATCCGTACTAGGCTTCTCCTACTGGGGGCGGCTCATTTGCTGCACCTCCACCTGGATTGGAGGAGACAACAGAGGCCAGAAGCAACAGTCGCCCCAAGCACAAAGCTGCGGGCGAAGGCGTTCCCAGACAGCCTGTCAAAAAGGTGGTTACGGGTGTGGCCCACTCTTCCCACCCATGTGGAGTCCATTTATCGGAGAAACTCGAAGCGAAGAGGGCAGCTGTTGTGGAGGCGGACCATGGCCTTCCAAGGAGTGCCATGAGGCCCTTCGGACTCCCGGCGGATCGCGATCACCCTTCCCTTGGCAGTCACACAAAGGACGAGCTACGGTACATGTACAATGGCCAGGCAGTTCAGATTCGGGTTTCTGGCTCCGACGACGAGGACCTCGACGATCAGGAAGAGTCTGCGGGCAGCACGCGGCCGCCCAAGCCACCGGATACCTGAGAGCAGCGATTTTCGGTAGAGTGACCTCCCGGGTTGCCGTTCATTGTGGATTCCGACTCTACAGGCTCCGGGGACCGATCGGTCGTCGGTCGCGTTTCATCGCGTCCTGCGATTGGTCTCTTCCCTTGGGTCAATGTTGGGTCGGACCCCACATTGATGGCGCGTACCGTGGAGCTCACTGGTCTCACGTAGGCTGTTCGATGCCTTGCATCCGTTGCCGGCCACCGTGTCTTCCTGCCTTTTCCTTTTGTCGCCTGCCGATCTCTGACGAGAACTCTTTGGCTGTGAGTTTTTCGTTCAGAGCTGAGGCTGTCTCCTCTGTAGTTCTGGGCGAGCCTTGGGCTTTGGCTTGTCTCGGAACTACCCCGCCAGAGGCCTTTCTTTCTCCTTGTGTCCCGTTGCAGTTGGCCTTTTCTCGCGGAGTGCCTAAAAGTCGGATCGGTGGCGCTGGGCCGACTACCCGCTTCCTGTCCTCGCCTCTTCATGCGATACTCAGACTCCAGAGCAAAGACAGCAATTTTGGTTACTTCGAGGCACAATGCGCCTACTTCTTTGGCTGCAGGCCTCCACTCTGTCTTTGCTGGATTTCTTGCTGCGATGCTTTCAGGTTGGCATCTAAGACACAATGCGCCGCTTTTGGCTGCAGGTCTTGGTCCAAGCATGATGGTACGAACCAGCGGCATGCTTTCGTTAGTACTGCGTGCCTTGATCGGGAAGGTGAAGCTACCTGCTGCCTTTTCCAAGTTTTGAGTGTTTTTGATCGGCCAGTCGAATCTGCTGAATGCACAAGAGACGTATCGGTTGCTCAGGGGCGTCCACCAGCAAATCGACCTGGACTCGCATCGCTTGGTGGTGGCAATTTTGACGACATTGTCCACCAGTCTTCAATCGCACATTTCCTGCGTGCCCTCCTTTCCTGCAGCACAGGAGTTGTTTCCCTTGCCAGGAGCTTTCTCTTTTTGCTCTTTGGGGCCCTTCTCAAGTTGCTGCTTGGTCGAAACCTACCTGTCACATGTCGTGCCAGGTGGGCAGTACCACTCGGCAGACTGGGCTCTTCAGAGCCGGTGCTTCAATGGGCTCCTTGGAGTGATCGCAAAGGTCGGAGCAGGCTCAGAACAGGGATCCGGGGAGGTCGTCCCTCATTCCTTTGCACTCTTCTCCTTCATGCGCTTGTCTTGCCGCAGCCTCTTGAAGCAGCACTGCCTGGCCTGCACCGTGCCTGTTGGACGCTTCCCGCACTTGCCAGTGCGATGGCGCGCCCAGGTGAGGCTCCTCTTGCGCACGAGCCGCCGCAACCACTGCCTGTCAGCGATCTTGAGCCTATCATCGGCACCGCTGAGGTTGAACTATCTTGGGTTCACCCTGACGATATTCCGCCCCCAGATTTTCGTCTCTGCTTGCAGGAACCTCCTTGGCAGCATCTTGATCTGCCAGCTGATCAAGATAAAAAGTGGCTTGGGGTGTACGTCTACACACCGCACTACTGCACTATTTCGTGTGCAGTCCTGGCAGCACCTGAGGATGGCATCCACCCGGTCCTTCAGATGATTAAGGAACACTCCCCAGGTGTGCCTAGAGGTTTGTTTCATACCCTAGTGCCACTTAGACCACAACGTCATCCTGGTTTCCTTTCTTTGCTGCGGGTCCCCAATTCCACCCGATATATCGGACCGGATGGCACAGCTTCGGTTGTCCTCAATCTCACACATGTCGGTGCGAGATACTTTTCGTGCACCCTACCAAGACAACTTGAGCACAGCCGACTCCTTGAGTACATTGTGCCACTGACAGCAGTTAGTGATGCAACTCCTCACCTGTTTGTCGGGCACCGCCGTCGACCGTGGAACCCAGAAACACTTGTGACGCTCAATGATGGGGATGTTGTCACGGCTTCTTGGCATGCTGATTCTCCGCCTGAGAATCTGCGAGTTGAGGCACTCTTCACAAACACCGCCGAGTGGGGATTACCTAGCCATTTCCCTCGGGTTGAGTCGCCAGAAGCTGTCTGCATCTTGTACAATGAACAACGTTTCAGCTGCAGGCCTGAGCAGCACGTTTGTCGTACTCCTGTTGAGTTCGTCTCTGAGAGACTCGATTTCCAAGCAGGTGATGCTGTCGTCTGCACCTTTCGAATCGGCAACCTTGATGTTCAAGGTGAACGTTGTGAGTTCCTGCATGCTGCTCACAGCATACAACCTCACAACGCTCGGGTGCAGGACAGGAGTGAATGTCGCGACGTTTTTGTACTGTGCGTCCGTCCGCTTGGGCAGAAACCGTGCTTCATCTACACAACCTTCCCTGCCCTTCACGTCCCTTCCCTAGCTGCTAGGTTCGGTTTAGTCCTGCCTCCCGCAATTCGGTTGGGCGTCACTGGGGGTGTAAGAAAGGGAGATGATGTACACTTTGAGCCTAACTCAACATTGCTTTTCTTTGCTGAAGGCTACCCGACAGACAGCTCAGGTAGCTCCAGTGAAGCATCCCGCCCCTCTCCGGGACGCGCACCCGAAGAGAATGGGGCAGCTGACCCTTTTGCGTTCGAAGCACCCTCTTGTGTCTGGGCTCCACCGCCACCTGACGCCATTGCTTCCTGGAATGATTGGCAGTCAAGTGACCCGGCCTTCGATTCCAGGGGTTTTCCCGCCGATGGGCCTTTCTATGTTCCCTCTGAGGATTCCTTTGTCGCTACGTGGCAAGAGGACACCTCACTTCCCGCAGGGCATAGTTGGAATGCTGGCGCCGCGCAACTTCCAATCGAAACCGGCCTGCATAATCAAGGGCTAGATCACCAAGGTGGTGCTGACCATCCACAAAGCATTGAGCCTGCCCCCCTTCTCAGGACACACAGCCCATTGAGGTTGACCACTCTGGCCACATTCAGCAAGCTTCACAGGATAGTGCTGTTGACGAGTCCCTGCCTGAGGTACCAGTACTCACCATCACGTATGCGCCCGGGT